GTGCTGCATACAGGCACAAGGGGTCATCTCAAAGATATTTTATGCTTTTTCATGTGCGTTGTATATGTCTCATTTATTCATTAACATCTTACGTGTCTTTCTTTCATAAGGTTTCTTTTGAGATATGTAAGAAAGTATGATACCCATATAAAAGCTTAAATCAGCCATCGTATTAAATGTCTAAAAATATATAGGTGACATGACCACCCGAAGATCGACAGGACTGGATATTATTTGTAAATTGTTATGACATGCCGTTTTCTTCCCCAGTTTAATTCCCCTTAAGGATTATCTCATCTTAGGGGATATCTCTATCCCCTAGCCCGACCCCCACCACCGTCTGCGACACCCGTCCTGGTTTTGCTTTTGAGACGACCCCTCTTACCTGTTTCTTTTTATAGTGATAGTGAGACTCCATGGTAGCTGCATCCTTAATAGTTTCAGTATTAAAGTTATTATTTTTTACGTCAGCTATCGTTTATAATGAAGCTAATTTTAATTTTAAAATGGGCATTTAAAAAGTTTCCTTTGTAATACAATATCATTGCACACTAATTTGCATAAAGCCATGGTCTGTTCCAAATAAGTCGCTTTGGACTTAGAAAAAAACTGCATTGCTCATTTCTGCACTAATCTCTCCTCAGTCCTTTTTCTACATTTCCTTTCTCCCTACCACTGAGACTGTAGTTAGGCCGAACTTAGTTTAACAGATATTTCACATTTTCATATACACTAGCCACATAAAGAAACTGTGCATTGTCAAAATATTATCCCAGTTGATAAGTACGATAACAATGTCAAAGGTACATATAAACTTTAATGGAGGGATCATGAGACCATAACAAGTCGGGAGAATTTCAATTGAAAAGTCAATCACAATGACGTCACGAGTCCACAAGCGGGACAGGGATCAAACGACCATGTCACAAGCTCAATAACGGGTATGTCCACCATCGGCATTGAGAACAGCAGTGCATCGACGACGCATAGAGCCTATATCAAACCTGTAAGGAAGGCTTGTGGGATGTCATGCCAGATTCTCTCAAGTTCTGTTGCAAGGTCAAGGACGTTATCTGGCGGATGAGGAAGACGGCGTAGACGTCGATCCATCTCGTCCCAAACATGCTCTATCGGGGAGAGATCCGGTGAATTTGCAGGCCAAGGCAGTAAGTCAACGTTGTGGTGTTGCAAGAAATCCATATCAACCCTTGCCGTGTGAGGGCATTGTCCTGTTGGAATGTTAACCTAGGGCCATGACGTTGCAGAAAAGGAATTGCCACAGGTCGAAGAATCTGATCCCTGTAGCCCACACCAGTTAAGTTGCCCTGAACAATCACCAAAGGAGTTCTTTGGCGTGCTGTTATTCCACCCCAAATCATCACGGTACCACCACCAAAGCGATTCCTCTCCAAGACACAGGCCTGTGCATAACGTTCTCCCACGCGTCTATAGGCACGTTGACGTCCATCACTATGGGAAATGTTAAACCTGGACTCATCTGTAAAAACAACATTTCTCCACCAAAACAAGGGTCTGCGGACATGATTTCGGCACCACATTCGGCGAGCTTGTCGATGACGTTGTGTCAGGATAGGCCGTATGGCGGGACGTCGTGGTCTGATCCCGTGATGACGTAAACGTTGTCGACTGTGTTGGGGTGGATACGGCGAAGTCCTGGGATGGTTCGGGCAGTCATCACTGCAGTCAGAAACCTGTGGCGCAGATGGGTCACCCTTATCCATATGTCCTGTCTTGGCGTTGTTACACGTGGACGTCCAGAACGTGGCCGATCGATGACGTCATTTGTGTTCTGGTAGCATCTCACCAGTGCAGAAATGGTGTTCCGGTGGCAGTGGAAATGTGCAGCCACTTGTCGTTGAGACATTCCCCACGGACCATCCCAATGGCCTCATGACGTTGTGCAGACGTGAGCCTTGGCATGCTATGCGTTTCAATAGCCGTTTAAGTTTTTGAACGATCGCAAGGGCAGGGGTTGAGCTTTCCAAAGTGACAGTATTGTGTGGCATTCATTTGCTCTGTTTCTCTTTCCCGGAATGCACGTGCAACAACGTATTGCACGTCTCAAGGACGAACCCACTGACGTCACGGAACGTGGCGCGTGCATGCATGTTGGATACATGTCACTAATCTCTGAGTTTAAATCCTCATGTGTCTACACAGGTTTGATAAATTTAGATTTTAAATTTTTGTATGCACAGTTTCTTTATGTGCCTAGTATATTAACTACATAAATTGTAGATATCAATGCGAAAAAACAGTTGTTTTTTTCTATTCCGACAGTACTTTGGGCGTACAGTTATCGCCGCGTAACACTCACACAATCAATTATTCGAGGTTACTATACTAAGCAGCAAAAGAAACGTCAGTTTGGAATTTTCCTTCGCAGAAACGGATAACTGTAAATTCATTTAATGTTTTGATTGTATATTTTTGACAACATCTCCAACTTTACCTGAGCAAAGACATTCCTTCCCAAACTCAGAATCGAACTCAGGAAATGGTCTCAAAAACGCAACCTGATCTCGGAGATGGCACGGTGTTCTCCATGTTTTTCATGCAACTCATGCTGCACGTGCTGTTCACAAGGACCAGCTCTATAAAATGCACCCCTAAACCTGGTTGAAACATTCGCATTACAACGTCAGCAGGATGCCGCGACTCACGACAGCTCAGAGGAACCAGGCGCTAGGGAGACTTGTAGCTGGCCACACTGCACTAAGCTGGTTCCTGGCTCCCTTTGCGCACGCTAACGTTCGTGCGAGACGTGGCCCAGCTGAACACTGCACAAGCCGTTGCCAATCACTTCCAAGTCAACGTTCGGACCATATACAGGCTGCAGCTGAACGTTTCCGGGCCACCAACGCCACAAATGATCGCCCCCGTACTGGCAGACCGAGGGTGAGCGTTTTCAAAAAAACTTATCATTTAATTTATTCTGAAGACAGCTCTTTAATATCCAACTCAAGGGGCAACAGATGGTCATGGATGGGTGGAAGAAAATGGTCATATAGAGATTTGCTGGATGACATGACCTCTTGCTCCAGATGTTGTTCTTGAGTTCATTTCTTGCAAGTACACAACAGTCTGTAAACCGCCAAGTTATCAATACCTTACCAATGAACTGAAATGCACTGTGTCGGGACCACACTTGTGACAACATGGTATGCGAGGACCATGACATGCTGAAGAGTGACACTGATGAAGCTGATGAACAGTGACTATCACTACACAAATTAAGAAACTTGAAGTTGCTCTCACTCTTTGAAATTAAAGAGGTGACTTCAGAATAAATTAAATGTTTTGTAAAAGGTTTTTTGAACGTACAATTTTTAACTCTTACAAAACCAGGTAAAATGTGATTTAAGGGTATCAAGTAACACAACTTGATATTAATAAAATCTTTTTAATCATGTTAGCACCATTTTACCTCCCTACTCATGATTAAACCTTGGAATTGACATTTTTTGAAACTTTGGGTGTTTTTGGCGGCCATCTTGATTTTAGCCTCGTTCTGAGTCTGAGCTACCAAACCGTCGTGGCCATCATACTTTTTTAATATATACACCATAACCACTTAAAAAACATAAAAGTGTTTGGTCCCTCTGAGTGGTACCAAAAAATTGTCTGGCTCATGGCCTATTACAGTGCCTATCTAATTTTGAAATTCGTACTGACGTTTTTTTACGGCTGAGTATATAATATGAATAGATATTATTTCACGACTGACATGAGAAATTAAGAAACGGCGATAACTGTTACAGTTAGTTGTGAGAAAACATCTATTTATATGGCCATGATCCCCTTTCGCCGCGTCGTGAACGGGCTAGACACATCGGTGAATAGCTAATTAAGTATCATAATTAATTAATAAGTTATTAATTATAACTGATGATAGCCAGTACCCTTTTCCCAGACATATCTGCCTGTGGTGATTCTGGAGTAGTGGGTGGCTGGGTATCCTAGACCACGTGGTTAAAACGTTCGAATCCCAACATGGGCTCATTGTATGAAGCTCATTTCTGGTGTCCCTCCCAGTGATATTGCAGGAAATATTGCTTATAGCGGCGTAAAACATTACTCACTCACCCCGGGGTAGAATAGGTGAGGTGAAATTGGGTTTAACGTCGTGCTTGAGAATATTTCGCTCATATGACGACGTGCATGCGTGTGTATGTGTATGGGGGCGGTGGGGTAGCCTAATGGTTAAAGCGTTGGCTCGTCACGCCGAAGACCCGGGTTCGAATCCCCACATGGGCACAATGTGTGACGCCCATTTCTGTTGTCCCCCGCCGTGATGTTGCTGGAATATTGCTAAAAGCGGCGTAAAACCAAAGTCAGTCAGTCAGTCAGTGTATGTGTATGTGCGGCTGCTTGTACTAGCCCAGACTGAAGCTGGTTTTATAGTGCTAGCCCACTGAGATACCATGCCGCAGTGAAGCATGAATACCCCACTCAGACACATTATACTGACTCCGAGCCGACCAGTCCTTGTTGTACCCATTAATGCCGAGCGCCAGGCAGGGACCAACAAGTACCATATTTTACTTGTTAGGTTAGGTTAGATATAGGTTAGTGTTAGGTTCGGTTAGGTTAGGTTAGATATAGGTTAGGTTAGGTTAGATATAGGTTAGATATAGGTTAGGTTAGGTTAGATATAGGTTAGATATAGGTTAGCTTAGTTAGTTACTTTTAGACCTTCCGTTCTCCGGGCGGACGCTCTTACCACTACACCACGGAGGCGGTCCCGGGGTAGAATAGACCCCCGGAATATATGTGCGTTGTAAGAGCGAGTGAGACAGGTTTAGTTTTACACCGCTTTTAGCAATATCACGACGAGGGACACCAGAACAAACAAACAAATAGGATATACAACGCGTTAGCTTGACAGCTTTGGGCATGACAGCAGAGACCATATAATGTTGACAGCTTTGGTGTAGCGGGAATGAGGTAAAATCTAAGAGTTATCTCCCCTCAGGACGTTTTCACTGTCATGAGATAGAAATATATCACAACACAGCATCGCCTGATCATGGCTTTAGAAGTGCGCTCCTAAATACACGTGTTGTCATCAGTTCAAACAACGACAATGTTTAGCAGTATATGGAACTTCATCAAAAGACACCGGCGGAAATTTGTTTTCACGGGATTTATATTTGGAGGTGGGTTGAATCGACAGGAGCTTGCACGTGTCCTGTGAGTGACGATCGGCATCTAAAATTAGATCTAGCCCAGATAGGGCAATGCACACTTTCGGCAGGTGGTTGTCATCCACTAGATCATGTCATTTCTTTCCCCACTTTTTTGTCGTTATCCCCATGTTTATATCAATACATAATAAATAAACAAATTACAAATGACAAGCCACAATGACTATTTTGCCATCTATGGAAGGCAGATTTCAAGAATAGCAAAGGTCCTAATTAATTAACTTGCAGTAACCATCTGTTACCTGCTAAAAGTAAACATAGATTTTCAGAGAATAGTTGTATGTGCTTATTTTGGGGTAAATTAAACCGCTTGAAACTACCTCTTTGAAGACTGCTTAATTGTAGCTCATGAGATGTAAGAATGTATTGATGGAAATTTCTATTATACTGGGACTCTCTATTATCGCGGGCACTCTATTATCGCGGCACGCGAAAACATCGGGAAAGCAGAAACACCACGCCCCGCATCGGCTGTTTACAAATGCAAATTACGAAAAATATATTCATCGCTCTTGAAAGTCATTTATTTCATTGGTGTGTTGTGTGTAATCGGAGTTATATTAAAGCATTCATCTTTTCAGTAAGTTCTAGAACATTTTGAAACTAGTATGACACCTACTGCCCTTACATCTAGCATGAATCAAAACTTACTTCATCAAGAGCAATCCTGTGACAACTATATGGTCATTTGCATATTTTCCGTGCTAAAAATATAACAGGAAGTGACGTATTATGCATTTTCACTCTGCACACGGCAGCAACTTGTATGGTACGTTTTAAGCCGGAAAAACAATATTTTGTAACGTTATTGTTACCTTGTATCCAAATGAATAGAAGATTCTGATGTTTGGGTTAAAAGCATGATGATATTACGAATGTGAATGAAATTCCTAAATATTTTTTAATGATCAAACTATTTAGATTCGTTACTTGTCTTAGTAAACGTTTCACAGTGTCATCTGCTTGTACCGCGTGCCATAGTAAGAAAATAGCAATACCGCGATAATAGAGAGTTGCTTCAATTTCCGGGTCAAACGAGACAATCGGAATTGCTGCAATGGTATTAAACGAGTTGCGACCATGTGTCACATTATTTGTGACAGAAATGAAGATTAAACATCAGTCAACTGAAAATATATATAAAATACTAAATGTCAGTAGCCGTTCATAATCCCGATGGCGACAACATTAACTACCGCGATAATAGAAGGTCCCATGATAATATCAGTGAAGTGACGATTTTGGACATATGATTTAAAATCATTATGTATCAAGAATGTATGATAAACAGTCACTTTGACAAACTTGGACTTGAGACTGTCATGATAGAACCATGGTTTTATGCATATAAATGCGTTTCGCCATGCTGAAGCCCTTACTTTCCCCACACAGGAGACCCGGAAGATCCGGGTAGAATTTTCAGCAACCCATGTGCTTGCCATAAAAAGGCACTATCTTGTCATGCTGAAACGGGATCCTGGGTTTGTTCCCCACACAGGTATCACTGATGTCTGTCAACTCGTCCCGCTTTCAGTGAACCCTCATCACTCGTCCCCACACAGGTATGATATTGTGAACCCTGTGATATTGCTGGAATATTGCTATAAGAGACATAAACTCTACTCGGTCCAATTACCATGGTGTCTAATTAGCAGAGGGGTTGTACAATTGACAGCACAGCTCGATCAGGCTATGGGTTAGAGCTGGGATCTGTTACCCAAGTACCTGGGTTGGGTAAATCATTTGCACTACCCTGTTTCAGAATAAACTACCTGGACCCGTTTTATCCTATGACTTATCACATGTAACTGATGCTCTGATACATTACATAAATTCTTTGAACTGAACTAATGAACCAAACTCAGTTTATATTCATTCTTCAATCATGAAAATGAGTACATGAAAATCTGTTCATTCTGTGTATGGTTCTTCATTGACTGGTGCATTTAGGTAGGGGTGTGTCTCTCTCAACCAATCAAAGCTTATAATAATTTCACTAACCATCTTGACAATGACCAGGCAAAAAATCACGCCTCGTCCTTGAATGAACAAAGTAACCAATTCAGTCAATAATTATTTTTGATATCTTTATTAGAGTAGACTATAACATTAATCATTATAATTTCCTGTTTATAAGGAAGCGATTCTATGACCATGACAAAAATAAATCATAATATGCTCACTGAAGAAATCTCAATTGTGTGCGATTCGAGTTTATGAAATCAAACTTGATAGGTGTCATGATGATTGCATTACAAGACAAGTGTTTCACAAAAAAGACATGCCACCACCTATAAAGCTCAAGGGGCGGTGGGCTAGCCTGATGTTTGAAGCGTTCGCTCGTCACGCTGAAGACCCGCGTTCGACTCCCCACATGGGTACAATGTGTGAAGCTCATTTCTGGTGTCTCCTGCCGTGATATTGCTGGAATATTGCTAAAAGCGGGGTAAAACCAAACTCACTCACTCACTCACTATAAAGCTCAGTTCTGCATAGTGCAATCTGCCTTTGGTTTCTTACTTGTGGAGTTTATAGCATGACCTAATGCCACTTCTTTGAGTTCAAAATTTCTACCTGTCCCAACCCCACTACAGGTACAGTTATATCTTGCAACCATGGTAATGGGCTTTTGGCATGGGGAGGTGCTACAAGGGTTGGAGTCATTTTAGCTTGTTAAATCCAAGGTTTATTCATGCTGTTATCATTCTAAACACTATAGACCCGTGAAGATTCGGTTTAGAATCTATCTTCAGTAACCCATGGTCGTTGTAAGAGGCGACTAACAGTATTGGGTGGTCAGACTCGCTGACTTGGTTAACACATGTCATCCGACATTGTATCCCAATTGCGTAAATTGATGCTCATGCTGTTGATCACTGGATTGTCTGGTCCGGACTCGGATTATTTACAGACCGCTGCCATGTACCTCATAAGGATAAGAAAGCCACATTATCTCGGTGCGCCTAGTGGCTGCAAGAGTTGCATGATCCTCAGGGAGTTGAGATTGATAATACGATATGCTGTTTGAGATTGACATCCAATGATCAAGGGGAAAACAAAGCGCCTTTGAGCAGCTGAGCTGGATATTGGCGCTATACAAATATTAGCATAATAATAATAATATACCTGGAAGCTGGAATATTACTGAGTGTGGCGTAAAACTAAACTCACTCACTCACACTCAACACTATATACTGATGATCTGAAAGGAACACAGTCCATCTGAACCACACATATGACAAATAGTGAGTGGAAGTTCTTTATTACCTGCCACAACAATGGATAGATGTGCTTTGAAAATATTTATTATGCTGAAATACAGCTGAATAACTGTCCTCAGCTATTGTTTCTATGTTATATTGTTCAAGCTGTTTTTGAATGACAATGTTTGTTCCACTTGATCAGCTGACATATAACCTGTTGATACGTACAACACCTGGGCAATCATCAAAGGATGCTTCACTGATGGCAACATGTTTATCAGTTTTAGATTTCTTACTACAGTCCGTTTGGCTTAAAAACGGACCGATGAATTGCAATCTAACTCGAAAAATAATAAACATATAATACTTAATGAAACGCTGATCATAATCAGACCAACTCTGTGATTTATTTGCAGAATTTGTGTCCTAAAAAAAAAAAGTTGTTTAACAAACTATCATTAAAATTTACACAGTTCACTATTTGTTACGTGGGAGGAGTGCAAAGAAAGGGTCAGCCAGGTGTGCGAGAAAGGATGGAGACGGCACAGCACAGATTAATTAATCAATAACTTTGTCGGCACTTGTGCACGTGCTTCTCTAACACCTGGCTGTCCCTTTCTCTGCACTCCTCCCACGTAACACAAAGTGAACTGTGTCAAACTTTTAATGATAGTTTGTTAAACAACTTTTTTGGTGGAGTCCGGAAAATTTTCATATATAAGAAAGCTGTTGGGTATTAGTAAATGATAAACATGTGTACTATTTATATTTCTGTGGCAATTTTGTACAATGATCAAATTTGCAATTCATTGGTCCGTTTCTGACTCAAACGGACTGTACAAGGTGTTTAAGTGGAGCTGTAGTGTAGGTTACTGCAATTTAGAGTCCAGTAGGCGAAGTGCATACGGTTCCGGGTTTTCATAATGCACGCATCGGAGTATTGAAACCAGTTTAAGGTTGTTAGATACCAAAATGAAGCTTATCCAATGATCTTTACGATCCTGCTAATCGGTTTAATAAGCTAGTGTCTGAATACCACGTGTTTTTGCATTTCATTCCTCTTAGTGATGCATGGACAACCGTACGGTATACTTGTAATTACCTTACACCAAACCTTGTAATTCCGTACAGGCATTCTATCACCATGATCACCGTACACCTCATGACCAGGTATCATTGTAAATTCCAACATATATTATTTTTACCGCTCACATTAATTGTTCACTATCTAGATATTATCACATAATTACATATTTGTTAATGTGTGCTGTAACTGTTAGCATGCACGAGTATAGGGCTTTATAAACAGGGAACCATGTGGCATTCATTCAACACGTGGCATTCCTGTGCTGGTGCTTACGAGACTTTCCAAGGGTCCACATGTCTGAGTTTTGCAATTACAATTTATTTTCAAACCCATTAAGCGGCAATATGTATGTATGAGAAAATGACGTTTTTTCTATTTCTATTTTTATCCCCCCGGCATGTAATGATGCGGGGGGATATAGTCGATGCCTCGTCCGTCCGTCAATCAATCATTTTGTTTCCAGAGCATAACTGAAAAACCGTTCAATATTTTTCAACAAAAATTGGTAGATGTATCAAACAGACCCTTAAGTGGTGCCTTTTGCTATTTGCAGATTTTTGGCATTTATATTTTTCCCGGTTTCCATGGAAACGATTCTGACTTAGTCCCAAAAGGGAGGAGTGGGCTTCGTTTCCGGAGCATAACTCAAGAACCGTTCAATATTTTTCAACAGAACTTGGTAGATATATCAAACAGAACCTCCCAAAAGGGAGAGGTGGGTTTCGTTTCCGGAGCACAACTCGAAAACTTCTTAATATCTTTCAGCAAAACTCGTCAGATATGTGAAGCAGATCCCAAAGTGGTGCCTTTTGCTATTTGCAGGTTTTTGTGATTTATTATTTTCTCGGTTTCAATGGAAACGATTCGAACTTAGTCCCAAAAAGGAGGGGTGGGCTTCATTTCTGGTGCACAACTCGAAAAGCGTTCGGTATCTTTCAACAGAACTTGGCAGATATATTGGGCAAATGTTGAAATGGTGCCTTTTGCTATTTACAGATTTTTGGCATTTATATTTCTCATGATTTCCATTGAAATGATTTGAACTCAATTTGTTATTCGCATCACTAGAATCGAATATTCATGATTTCCTTTTGAAAAGGAGTGTTTTTACTTGAATTTAAGTGTTACTTATGAAAATGAGTCATTGTAAATGGAATATATTCCCACAAGTCAGGGTAACAGTCACCACTCAGTGTTACTACACTTGCTGGTCATACAATAACGCTGTCAACATTGTAAGAAGATGTCATATATATATATATATTTATTTTCTTCCTGTTTAACTGAATATACTGAAAAATGCATTAACTGCAGACATGTTATTGTTTTGCCGATATTTAGGGCTCCTTGCCTCTAGGCAGGAGACCTATTGTAATCGTTCGGATTATTATTATTATTATTTATTATTCCGATTTTTGTACCAAACATAACTCCTAAACCAATGCTCCGAATCACTTACAAAAAATCTCACAGATGCGCACTGAGGTGTAGATATTCCCCTTAAAAATCTCTAGGCTCTTGGCCCAATAGCAAAGGGGCGATAATTCAAAATTAATTCCAAAATTTCAACGTTTGACAGCAAATATCTCAAGAACTAATTGTTCCGACACTTCCAAATTTCTTGTACAGATGCACAATCGAATACCCAACAATTTTCGGGGCAAGTCGCTAAAACGTACTGCCAGTATGGTAGATGATGTCCTGGTGATTCCAGAACACTAATTGTTTTGAACGTAGACCCAAGAACAACTGAGATACAGCCTTTTAAAGAGGGAACTATTTCTTCTCCAGAACTACTTAAAAGGTACATGACCCCGGCTGTATTTGGAAGATCCGCTCGCCTGTCAAAACGTGTGTTCTGGCTCCGTTTTGGACGGTGATATCTAGCCCTCAGATACAATAGATAGAAAGTAATGCCAAGGAGACCTCATCGTTGCCCGCAACTATATTTGTATTCAGTACTCAGTAGTTGAATTGTATTAGCTTCATAGTAGATTTGATCTGTGAAGGTCCGGGTTAGAATGAACCTTCATTAACCCATGCATGTCGTATGCGGAGACTAACGGGATCGGGTGGTCAAGCTCGCTGGCTTGGTTGACAGATGTCATTGGTTCCCAATTGCGCAGATCGATGCTCATGCTGTTGATCACTGGATTGTCTGGTCCAGACTCAATTATTTACAGACCGCTGCCATATATATAGCTGAAATATTGCTGAGTGTGGCATTAAACCTAACTCACTCACTCATAGTAGATTTGTTTGCAGCCCAAGAAAATACTTTGGAGCGGAAGCTCACACGTGTCTCTTAGAATCGTTTACAGGATTCCAGTCTGATTTTAACAATAACTCTCAGATGAGCTTCTGAGCCTTGTGGTTCTGTGTTCATGTTTTCATAAGCCTTAGACACTAGGCCATCCCATTGTAGATCACTGTGGTAGGTTTGTTTTGTATTAGACAGCCTCCGTGGTGTAGTGGTTAGAGCGTCCGCCCAGAGAGCGGAAGGTCACGGGTTCGATCCCCGACCGCGTCATACCAAAAGACGTTAAAATATGGTACTTGTTGGTCCCTGCCTGGCGCTCGGCATTAATGGGTACAACAAGGACTGGTCGGCTCGGAGTCAGTATAATGTGTGTCTGAGTGGGGTATTCATGCTTCACTGCGGCATGGTATCTCTGAGCTAGCACTATAAAACCAGCTTCAGTCTGGGCTAGTACAAGCAGCCGCACATACATACACACGCATGCACGTCGTCGTATGAGCGAAATATTCTCAAGCATGACGTTAAACCCAATTTCACCTCACCTCACCTTGTTCTGTATTATGTAAGAACTCTCACAAATTTACTGGTCCTGAGGATGGGAGGAGCATTGACTGCTGGTGGTGAAAGTTAAATTGATTAATATTTTATTAGATATATGCTCATGGGTCTATAACTGCGATTAGTTCTGTATGTTTGAAATGTGATTATGCAACAAAATGCACTCAATGATATTCAGGATAATGTAATATAAAATATGATGGATCTTAGAAATATTCGGCGTAGATTAATGTGCAACCTCATTCGACAAAGTGCAGTTTGGTGTTGTTGCATTTGGATAAGTTGAGTGTATCTGACAATAATTTGTTTGAGAAAGGATTTGTACGTTATCAATATTATGTTTATGTTTTTGATATTTTTCAGGTGGCTGGCTTGTGTACAAGTATTTACAAAAACGGTTACGTGAGTTCCGAGATGGCGAAGATAAAGAGTATATGGCATTTGCACGGTAAGTTGCTAATGGCGACCATTCCTGACTACATTCTGTACAATCATCTTCATTACATAAACCATTAGATATATTTATGCAATAGTTAACAGTGCAGAATTGTATTGAAGTTCCGGAAGGAATGTTATTTTCCCCCTTTTTATATAATCATGTTAATATGCAATTGTACTGTTTTGTGCAAGGCTCAATTTAAGGAACTGTTGTCATGAAAATCCAGTTTCACGAAACAAAATTAGACTGCACCCTAGACCCATAATTTTCTTTCAGTTGAAACATAGGCTGGTTTGTTGATAAAGCCAAATAAAAAAAAAATGTAGTGGTTCCGATTACAGCTTTTTAAAATTTAGAATATTTTGTCTTTTTGGCAATCGGAATCACAACATTTTTTTTTAGGCCTAGTGTCAAATATATTGGCTCCTATATTGTGCAAATCCACTAATCTTTTAAGGCACTGTCCACCTGGTTTCAAAATAAGCTAATTTTACAAATAAAAAATGTATTAAGTGCGGGAATATGTTGTGGATAACATCATTGGGTAGATAACAACTTGGTAAGAAATACATGTTGGAGGCATAAAGAAAATCAAATTTAATTCTGGACTCTGTTCAGTTTTGAATTTCTAAGAAAAGTAAGCGCTGTTATTCAGTCCACCAAATTATATCTGATACCATGCCAGTCAGTGCATGGGCGGTGGGGTAGCCTAGTGGTTAAAGCGTTTACTTGTCACGCCGAAGACCCGGGTTCGATTCCCCACATGGATACAATGTGTGAAGCTCATTTCTGGTGTCCGCCATTGTGATATTACTGGAATATTGCTAGAAGCGGATTAAAAATACACTCACTCACTCAGTATGTGCAGGTCTCCGCTAGAAATCAGCATTCCATATTTGTGGTAAGAGACAACTAATGGGATATGCATTAACTCAATGAATTATTACTACATGTCATTGCATTCAATTTGTGGAGATTGACGCTGATCATGTCAAAGATTTGTTCATCTGACCCAGATCTGATTGTTTACAGACTGATTTGATACAGCTGGAATATCGCTGAGTGTGACTTTAACTAATAACAGACAAATCACTCTTGCCAAGTTTTCATTATGTTTGATGAAAGACAATGTATTTTGATTTCAAAGGTAGTGCAACCATGGCAACACATGAATGTCATGGCACATTGTATGGTCAATAGGCTCATTGACTTGATAATGTATTCATATCATGATTTTCAGTATAAACGAATGCATAGTTTTATCATTGTTCTGTAGTCATGCTAGAATTGATAGGATCGCCAGGAGGAAGTGAGGATCTGCTTGTTTGGAGCTTGAAATCTATGTCCACAACATTTATAATTTATGGGACCCTTGAAGATCCAGGTTAGAATTGATCTTCAGCATCCCTTGCTTGTCGTAAGAGGCAACCAACGGGATTGGGTGATCAGGCTCGATGACTTGGTTGACACATGTCATCATATCCCAATTACATAGATCGATGCTCATGCTGTTGATCACTGGATTTTCTGGTCCAGGCTCGATTATTTACAGACCGCCGCCATGTAGCTGGCATTTTGTTGAGTGTTGAACAACAACCAAACCCAATAATTTATGGCCTGTCAGTACAGTACCTATGCTATTGGGTTTTTCGTAAGTAGTAAACGTCAACAGCCTGTATGCTTCAGCTTCCCACCTTTATTAATGCTAATGGAGGTGACAGCTGTGAACACAGAATAACAGTGAACTGGCATCAGAGTAAGGCAGACTGCAAAAATTCTGGATGAGATGTGTTTCTGTGTTTGATTATATATTTGTATATTGGTGTTATTGTAGCATGCTCATGCATGTTTTTCAATAAATTCCAACAATTGTCTTCAATCTGTTGGGTGTATCTCATTTACATGATTCAACAGTACCATCCCCAAATATAATTTGCAATAACTATTTTCGAAGTAGGATTTACATAGCATTTGAATTATGTTTGATATGCATAAATGATTAGCTTTCTAAATATACTGAACATCATTGAAAACGCACCAATCAAGATGGATTTCAGCATGACAATGTTCAATGAATATAACTAACATGATGTCGAAGAGCATGTCCAGCTGAAAAAATGCTTTAGAAACAAATTCCTGTCCACAGTATGACTCTTTAATTCCAAAATGCATCAACATGCAGCCACGCCATGAAAAAAGCGTGAATTTCATTCTGAAATCATACTGACTGTGACATTAAAAGCAGGTGTATGAGAACCGATTCTCATTGCTTCACTAACGATTGTGAATCGAGGACAGATGCTGAAGTTAACACCTCACGAAAGAGAACGTGCACTAGGCATGATTCAGGTTGGCACCAGCAGAAGGGATATTGGTCGACAACTTGGACTTGGCCAAGACGACATCAGTAGACAGGCAGCACCCATGACCTTCACGCTCCTTCAGGATCGCCATATTGACCATGTCCATATCAGTGATTGAACACTGCCGACTGCCAGGACTGCTGCTGCACTAGTTCAAGGTTGACGTGGGGGTCATCAGCGCTGACTCCATGCGACGCCGTCTACACGCTACATGGCTCCATGCTCGACGTCCTTACGTTGGACCAATTCTGACTGACAGACACCGTAATGACCGTATACAATGGGCCAGACATGGGGTAATTGTAATTTGTAATTGTAATTGAATGTAACTAATTACAAAAATCTATGTATTTGCATGTAATTTGTATTTGAATGTTTAAAATGTAATTTGTAATTGTAATTTAATTAATTAAAATCTTAATGTAATTGAATTTTTCAATTACTTTTTCAGTTACATCAAATTACATGTCACTTTTTTATTTTGGTGGTCATCAGGCAACCCTTGCAATTATATTCTGTACAATAAGGAGGACAAAGCAGTGTTTTTCAATAAGATGCTTGTTGTCGGTATATACTCTAGCAGGTGTTAAGTTTTGAAAGAGATTTGAATGTCTAAGCCTTTGTAACTATCACCATCTGCACATTTGTGAAACAAAGGGAATCAGTAACGCATGACTGAATGTAGGTTGGTATTTGAGGAAATGGGGGATTAACAGTACTATTAGTCAAGTTTCTATCAAAATGGCCTCTTTGTTTATTTCTCATAGGATATGATATTCAAAATCCTACTGAACTGTAGTCCTATTTATATAATCATGAAAGGTAATAAGCCATAAATCCAAGTTGACAAATCCTTTAGTATGTTAATGTGGATTATGTCAGATAGAGAGACCGGCTGATTATATATTGTAATGTAGGCCTGTAATGATGTCATGATACAGTACACCTAAGGTAACAGTGGTGGACAAAGTGTTTTTTGCAACAAGAGATGATAGAGGTGTGTATTTGATAATAAGCCCAAAGAAATATGCAAAATACAAATTTGATCAAATAGTGTACATTGTAGATATAATCTAATTTTGCATTTCACTTTTTGATGACAAAAATATGAATTGGATTTAGTGACCACTGTTTACCAACATCGATATCTTGTTGATTAAAGGAATACAGAAATATACTTGTTTTTGTTGGTTTTTTTTAACAAAGTAATTTGTAATTGTAATTAATTACATTGGTAATGTAATTGTAATTTAATTAATTACATTTTAATTTAAGGTGTAATTGTATTTGTAATTGTAATTGAGGGAAATCAGAGTAATTGTAATTTAATTAATTACATTTCAAAGTAATTGAACCCATGTCTGCAATGGGCTAGCAGGCATTTTCAGTAAAGGTTACAACAATGGCATGGTGTGGTAGTCACGGACAAGTCTTCATCTACGTAATGCTGACGGCCGATTACGTGTTTGGGGTAGACGTGGTGAACGTTATGCTGATGAGTGTGTGGTTCAGACAGACCTTTGGGTGGTGGGAGTGTCATGGTCTGGGGTGGAATAAATTACAATCACAGGACTGCCTTCATGTCTGTCAAGGGAGAGTTAATGCCATTTATTACCGTGAGCAGATTCTTCAGAATCACATCGTATCTTTCTTCAATCACCACCAAGATGTCGATACCTTTCAACAGGACAACGCACAGGCACACACAACAAGACTTTCCATGCAGTATCTGGCCCAGCAACACATCCAGGTTATTCATTGGCCAGCACAGTCGCCAGATGTATCCCCCATGGAGCACTTGTGGGACGAAATTGGTCAAAGTCTTTCGCGGCGACAACAGATACGAAACATCCGGGAACTTGAGGCTGGACTAATGCAGAAGTGGAATGCCATCCTCCAGAACTCTATTCGGACGCTTATTGACTCAATGAGGAGACTTTGAACTGCATGTGTCAATGCAAATGGCGGTCACATGCGATATTGACTTTCGATTTGACCCCACGTGTGTTTGATCCTTTCTGACTGTGGAACATTTCAATGAATGAGCGTCTTTTCTGTGTTTTTGTCAGTCGTCCATCTGTTATTATCCAGTTACTTCAAGTCACCCCATCATTCTGGACATTTTGGAACTTTACAACGACCTCTCTACTGCCCAATGCGACATCGTCCTCTGCTGGTTGCCGGGTCACGTCGGCATAGCAGGTAACACAAAAGCCGATGCTGCAGCAAAAGCAGCTCTTGACAAGCCCTTATCTCCACTGCTGATCCCGTACAGTGATTTCAAACCCACTATCAAAAGCTATACTCGGGACCTCATGCAAAAACGATGGGACACTCAAGTAGGAAGAAATAAACTGTATGAATTGAAACCAACAATTGGTTATACCTACTTGGGTTGTCAGTCAAGACATGATGAGGTAATTTTACGACTATGTCGTATTGGCCACAGCCGATTTACTCATGACTATCTGCTGAAAACGGATGGGGATGGACCCCCCATGTGTGTCTCTTGCGATGAGGTTTTCACCATCAAGCATATTCTGCTTGAATGCGTGGACTTATCGTCTGCAAGGGACTCACATTATGATGCAAAAACCCGAAAGATCTGTTCTCCCGAGTGAGCGCTCATCTGATAGTGAACTACCTGAGGGAAGTTGAACTGTATCATAAATTGTAACTGTGAAATGTCACTAACAAATTGCCTGCCTTTAAATTTGATGCTATTACTTTTTCTGCTGTTTTTGAAATAAAACTCATACCGAGTATGTACTTACAATGTTTATTAATGCAAACTTGTTATCATCACTATATGGCTGGAATAATGCCAATGTGACGTAAAGCCTAACTCAACTCAACTATTATCCACTCACAAAATATCATTTCCTTACACATGCTTTTGATAATCTGAACTTTTATAAGTGGTGCGTTTTCAATGATGTTCAGTATATATAAACCTTACGTAGTTTGTGAACCTCAAATAGAAATTATGAAAATTTAAAATGTATCAGTCAAATTTCTCGGAACACATCCAGCCACAACGGCCATTGTTGACTTAAGGCACTTCATATCAAGTGGTGGGCAGCAAGCTAAAGGTTAAACACCACTCGGATGTTTCAGATATACAGTCATCCCTCGCCATAACGCAGGCCTTGGGGTCCATGGATGACTCACTGCAAGTTGTACTAACTTGCACAAGTGATAGACTTTTGGGATTAGTGTGTTGTTCATCATTAGTTTATGTTAGTGTCTGTTGCTGTAATAGTGGTGCATTATTTAGGCTCGCCATTTATTTTGTTTAAAATATTGCCATCTGCAAAGTAACACAAACATTTTTTACACCAATACATACATTGTTACGTCATTATATACATCGTTATTTCAGACGACAACACCACTTTGATAGCAACCAAAGAACATGTAATATGACAGGTGAGTAGGGAGCAAAAACACCATCACATGTGTTGTTTCACTTTGTTGACCCAAAGGAATGATTTTGGAATTTGTGTGATGTTTTGGGGATTTTTTAGGTTATGTTTGTGAAGGATGATCAAATTGAGTACAAAATGTGTAAAGTTAAGTCTGTTAGTAGATACAGTTTCAATGCCTGTTATTTGTGTATATATTTGTTTTCAAGATGTAAGTGTTAAAATTTGTATGAAATGTCATCAATCCAGGTTCATAAGTAATTATTTTCTTTATTATACGCCAAGGTTCAGCACAGTCATCGCCAAGATAGTAAGTGTGTTGCTGTGTGTAACCAAACTAATGCTTTTGTGTTTCAGTGTTATCAATGGTGCCAAATGTTCAGGAGACGGTAGTGAAAGTTTTCAATACTGAGAAAAATACTGCTGCTCTGAAATCAAAGTAAGTTCTACACCATTATACCCCTCCACCATGTTAACCTTAAGACCTGTGTACCTGTATACAGGTATACATATTATTGTTGGGAATTGGTGTAAACCTCATAATTGATGATTGGTTCATTACAACCGATCAATCATCGAAAATAACTGGTTAGTGTCATTTATCAAATTTTCCTGGTTATGTTTGTTAATGCACAAAAATATAAAGAAAAACATAGTTCTCTCAGTTTTTTTTGCATATTGCACAAAATGCATTTGCAAATTTCACATCTTTAAAGGATGACTAGTGTGTTAGGAATATACATTTCCTGGAGTTGTTAAGATAAATTTATCATGACTTTGAACGAGCTTGTAATGTTTGTGCAATGTAGAGACAAAATCAACCTTTTGAAAAATATTGTTATTGCAAACAAGTGTTCCAAAATTGTTTGTGTTCGATTATGAGGAAACATGATCAATTGCTTGGTCGTTTTGTCATTGCGACCAATCTTCGATTATTTCAATTAATCGGACCACCACTAATACATATACTTCCTGTAATTGCCTCTTAGTTAGACTTACAAGTTTCAAGGTGTCTTGATTAGTTAGCCAATATGTCATCTGTCTGTTTTTATTACTTTCTCGATTCTGTCATTCTCAAGAATTCTCTCAATGCATTCCCTGGCACTATTTATATCACTTCTTCAGACATAACTGCACAAATAACACTGAAACATCACATGCAGGCGATGACAACTTGATTTATTCAGAGTTACAATCAGATTATCAACATGGCCTCCTCTTCAGCCATGTTGAAAAAACAGTTCATGATTATTATGGTTTGGGGGCTTTCGGGTAGCCTAGTGATTGAAGTGTCCGCTCATCACGCTGAAGATCTGTGTTCGATTCCCCACATGGGTACAATGTGTGAAGCCCATTTCTGGTGTCCCTGCTGTGATATTGCTGGAATATTGCTAAAAGCGGCATGAAACCTCAATCACTAACTCACTCACTTACTCAATATGGTTTGCTGAATGTCCCAATTTCTAGATTTGTCAGCACCATACCTCAGGGGTGGAAATAAGGTTAAAATTGCTAGTGTACTCCGGTACAGTGGCACATGTAAAGTCACTTGCCCTGATTATTTTCCCACTATACCAACCGTTTTCTTGCTGATTTTTTAAATAAACAACATAATAAACATTGGAAAGTCAACTGGACACCGGTACAGTGTGATATACAAATTTGCTTGCCCGACAGAAAAAAAACACTGGACTCGGACGTCGGGCAATGGGTTATTTCCACCCCTGTACCTGTGTGCCAGGGTTCCTCCAAAGTTGTAAACATTCAAGGCCTGCATCACTTCAAGCTTTCCTTTTTCAATAAGAAGACACATCATGATATAACAGGAATAATGTTCAAAGCTGCTAATAAAGATATCACTTATTCCTGGAATACCTGTCTCTGTTTAACCCATCAAAGATGTTCAGTCTGAAATAGTTTTGAATTATCTAAATTCAGGTGAGCTACAGAGCCTTGTGGGTTTCTATTTTCTGCTTCCATTTTCAGTCCTTCGAATAAATTTGAGCTGTGGGAAGAATTGAAGATTATGAGTAAGTATATACTTCATGGTGCTAAAAGATGGATACAATAATCGGTCAATGATCTGGACAGTGGAATAATTATTGATCTACCAGCATTTTAACTGATTCTTAAATGTTTATGAAGGTGAGAGCAGTGTTCACAAATGGTGTTTCAAAGTAACAGGACATTGGGTCCTGTAGTTTCAGATGTCTGTCTGACCCATTGAAAATGCACAGGACCCATAGAATAAAATTAAACACACATTTCAGATTTAATACTTCTTATAATTGGCATTGAAATTATTAACAAACATAAGATTTATAAACAGCAAACAAGTGGCACATGTCATATATATATATATATAACAAATTCAGTGAAAGTCATTTTGAAATATACAGTCAGACACTGGGGCCGGCAGGTTGTAGACTTCTGTTGGACCGTTGGCGAATCTGCTGGATTTGTCAGAGGGTCAGAAGCTATTCGTGAACACAGTGAGAGTGTGTGATGATGTTTATTTGAATGGTGGGAAAGCTCAGTGCTTCATCATATAGGATATCCACTTGTTGTTTTCAGAGTTTTTCCTTTTTCTAAGAAAGGTGCTTCTAAAATTCAACTGTGTAATTAGAAATTGGAATAACACTTTTAGTGAGTGCTAAGCACGCAATTCTCTACCATGCCAAATTCATACTTTTTCTGTATCAACAATCACTGTGTTAACACCTTTGAAAAGCATTGTGATTATTATGTTCAATTTTGACAACAATATTTTGACAAAATCTATCAGAAAACAGCAACATTTCTTTGTCAGTGTAAACACTTTTTAGCAAATGTGAAAATAATTTTTAATTTCCCTCAGTTTGAACATGTCGTATATTTTTTGGAATCCAAAATATTATTTGACATGAATGAAGAAAATTATTTAGTAAATCAGTAAAAAAAAATTGATAATTTTACAACTGAAGGTTTTTTGATTCCTACTTTTTCAGGTTTAGCCCGGTCAGTTCTATCTGTGTATGGATGTTGTATAATGAGTCTACTACTACGTGTTAAACTAAATGTGATTGGTGGATATATATACCTCGACAGTGCAAAGATCAAGGACACAACAGTAAGTCACTGAATCGTTGGAGTGTAGTCTTTTGCAGATAGTGTGGAGTATATCCTATATCCCTGGTTGATATTTGGTCTATTGGTATTAGGGGTGTCATGATGTGATAGACAATGTGAGAGTCATGATAGATGTGTTGTATTTTCATGGCTTTATTTACTGTGTACATATTATTGAAAAGTGAAGCCTTTTATTTCAACATACACCAAGTACAAGCAGGAAAACAAGATCAAATGGTTGTCTGACTCGCCCTTACTTTTTTACCCCTCAATCTGTTGACAAACTCAATACCTGTAAGCTTTATGGACAGTACTATGTCAAGAATCTCTGTGTTACGTGTAATTTGTCATGCATTCTTTGGCTTGATGTCATTTAACATGTGATGCTTCAAGAATATGTGTGCTTGTTCCCAGAGCTCCAGACAAGATTTAGCTCATGTGGGTACTGTACCCACTGTATTTTTTGGAGTGGGTATTATGAATGTTGAGTGGGTATTTCATTTTCCGTTACCCACTGCTTTCAAATATGTGCGTATTTCAGTCATTTTACTCACCTAAGTATATATGTCATTGAGTAAGTTTACTAAGCAGGTATGTTCTGCCTTATGTCATACCTAATCAAAACCAACTTTAATATAATGGAAATGATTTCATAAAAAATCACTCATCCTATACTGACAGTGCAACACTTGTCCTATACTAACAGTACAACTTGATAGCAATCGATGTCTTTTTCATTACGCAAGCGATTTATATAATATATTCCGTACGCATTTGTTTCAAAACTTTTGATCATGATCTAAAATTTTAAATGCTCTGGTGGTACATAACAATTATTTTTTCAATGCATGATTGGAAATTTTCTATGCGTATTTTACCCGGATACGCAGCTTATCTGGGCCTCTGCTTGTTCCTATTCCTATGACACGCTCATCTGAGATCTGAGATTCTGTGATGTGACATAATTAGGCAGGCTAAGCATGCACGCTGAAGAGATGCACCGGCGTCTCTTCTCACAAAACCCCGGTCCTGTGTGGACTTGGGGGATGTGGAGCGTGCCAGATCAACAACTGGAGTGGTGTTTCAGGGTCGGCATTCACCAGGCAGAATGTCAGGCAGTATAAGCACCAGACATTTCCCACTACCACAAGTCACTTGTAGAACTAACTGTATTTAAGGATATCATGAGAACAACCTGACTACAACCTGACTTCTAAGCAAGGTTATAAGTCAGCAAAACTTGTGCAAAGTTACTGTATGTCCGTAAAATTCACTGTAGAAAGTTTGTTTTCCTCAGATACAATGCCTCATGTGAAATTTCGGGTGACCTTTCTTGGTGCCCCAGGTGCAACCAAATGTATTTGTAATAGATGTAATTTCTATGAATTTGGGTATATATGTTATATCAATATCAAACTGACATGCTGTACAAGGTGAGGTGAGGTGAAATTGGGTTTAACGTCGTGCTTGAGAATATTTCGCTCATATGACGACGTGCATGCGTGTGTATGTGTATGTGCGGCTGCTTGTACTAGCCCAGACAGAAGCTGGTTTTATAGTGCTAGCCCACTGAGATACCATGCCGCAATGAAACATGAATACCCCACTCAGACACATTATACTGACTCCGAGCCGACCAGTCCTTGTTGTACCCATTAATGCGACCGGCAGCCAGGCAGGGACCAACAAGTACCACGGAGGCGGTTTTAAGCGTCTTTTTGGTATGACGCAAGGTCGGGATCGAACTGGGCATGACCTTCCGCTCTCAGGCTGGGATTGTTATGATACCTCTAACTTATTCCACTACACCGTAGTGAGTGGTTAGAGGTCTGCTGTAAAAGGACCGAATCAGGTACAAGGTTACACTTCACCTCACTTCATGGGCATGAACTATTACTCATACTATCCGACATCAGTTTGCCTGGTCCAGATTGTTATGATACCCGTTGATTATTCCATATATACTACTCCAAAGATATTAAAGAACACCCAACATCTACAGAATATTGACATAATCATAATGATAATCCAGAGTTCTTTAACGTCTTTTGGGTAGTATATGCCACAGTGTTAAACACCACTGTGTTCTGATCAATACATCTGGTTTCTTCAGTTGACTGAGGATTCTGGCAGCCAGGTTCCCCAGCCGGTACAGGAGAAATACCTCTCCCTCATCAAACACTTCATCAGTGAAGGTGGGTATCTGTCGGGTGGAATGGATGTAAATGGCTTCAATTGCTATGGATGCTCATGAAATTGGATGAAATGTTGTAATATCTGTATTATGTAATTGTCTAGAATTTCTGTTGATTTTGGATCATTTAAGACATAACTGATGCATATTGCAGCTTTTGATTTAACATTCTTCTTTAAATTTACCAAACCTGAAATAATCTTGTGGACAGATTGGGGAGATAGTCAATATCCAAGCAAAATACAAAACTGAAAACCCAATATTGTATTAAAATATGAAAGTAGGCACCTATCTATAGCTATTGGTGCATGGTTAAAGTAAATGTAACAAATCATAAAAATAATTGGCTGAACTCTATGCCACATGGTCATGCTCTAAGAACATTCAACATAATGGACATTATTACCCCGGATAACCCAAGCTGCAGCCTGTGAGGTGCTAGAACATGTAGAAGGTCAAGTCATATGACTTATACCACCTGGTACCCAACAGAGGCAATTTGGAACAAACTCACTTGCCTAAGGTGTGACCACATATGTGCTTTGTTGTGGGGCAGGACAGAAGTCCTAGAAACTCTCAGGAGTCAAGCTGCCAAACACGGTCACCCATCCACAGACTCGCCGTGACCAACGTTGCTTAACTTTATCTGATTTGTGACCTGCGCTCTATGCACAAGAGCACACACCAACTGATATACGATATGACAATGTGAGCTGTAAGTAGATGTCCTGTCCTTGACTCTTCTTTGTGTGTGACTATGCTTTGTGAAGGACTGGTAATTTATGGGTTGGGACGAGACTCCTATCATCTCTTCACCTACCTCCCCAAGTCATCAATCCCTGAATCATATTGGAAACATGAACAAGGATGTGTATCATTTCAGGTTTACCTGATTTAGCAACAATAGTAGAGCAAGCCGTGGCGAGAGAGTTTAGTAGGTAAGTAGAAGTCAGTTTATACATGGAACTGCCATGGAACTGAAGCATGTGAAGCATCATTTAAAGCTGGTAAAACATGGATCCACAGTTCTATAAATGGCTGTTGTCTTACATCATAGCATGAAATATCTCACTATCCCTATCAAATGTTTTCGTTGTATATCTGGGCCCCGTTCCTCAAAGAAATCGTAGCTCTACGACAGTCGTAAGTCTATGTTAAAGTATGGGAGTTGAGATCACCGTAGATCAGTCGTAAGTCTATGTTAAAGTATGGGAGTTAAGATCATCTTAGCGCTACGACAGTCGTAAGTCTATGTTAAAGTATGGGAGTTAAGATCACTGTAGATCAGTCGTAAGTCTATGTTAAAGTATGGGAGTTAAGATCACTGTAGATCAGTCGTAAGTCTATGTTAAAGTATGGGAGTTACGATCACCGTAGATCACAGTCGTAAGTCTGTTTAAGTATGGGAGTTAAGATCACCGTAGGGCTAATGTTGCTTTGTGGAACAGGGCCCCCTTGCTTTAGACTCAGACCCTTACTTTATTATTAGAAATGGTGAGTGAGTTTTATTTTACGCCGCTTCAGGATTATTTGGAGCAAGACCAGGAGAAAATGTTTTGTTTAGAAAAGTTAATTGTAAACTTCTTTGTTAGAATTTTGTCCATATACCAAAAATGAAATAAGTATGGCCTAAGCATTTTCTTTCAGTTTTTTGTCATCAAGCTGTCACTGATCATGTGTCAGAAGATGATGCAAATGTGTGTCTTTTTGATGGGGTTGTGTTGTTCTTGTAGTGTATCGTTAAAGGAACGGATGTCGTGTTCCAACCTGCAGTCACTCGTGACACACATACGAGAGCGTGTGGAGTGTGGCAACGTGGGACTTGCTTCAACCATCCCAACCATGCCGCTGTCACAGTACATGCTGCCTGCAGAACAAGTGCCTGATTTTGTAAGTACTGGTAATATCGTCCTATTGTCACAACATCTGTCAAGATTCCGGCTTGGCTTAACTCCCCAGTGATCAGCTGGATGTAAGATGTTCCATTTATTTTAGTATAATCTTCACAAATTTCTGTGCAGAAAGTCTTAATTTTGATGTATTATTTATAACTGGCAAGTTGCAACTTGCAAATGATGCATAATAAACTGAAATATTTGACAAATTAAAAGAATCAGGAAAATTTGCAGTTAAAAGTTGAAAGAATCGGGTTGTCCTTTACATTCTTTTTGATAGTAAATAAGCAGATGTTATGCTTTGTTGTGAGCATGGGAATTATTTAAAGCTTTTATCAGTGTGAATCATTTTCTCAGCCTGAAGCTTTCGCAATGACTATTCTTCCAAAGTTTAGCAAACTAGATACAAAAACGTGTTTCAATATTATCAGTTGTGTATCTGATATGTTCAAGGAAGCGCTGTGTCAGTAAATGAATGTTGTGATTTCAATGACAGCTTTCAGGTCAAACAGTATTTATGACATGCAAGTTTACCTTTCAGGTGCTAGTCAGCCAAGAGGATATTGTGTATGAAAAGCTTGTCACGGAAACTAGGGATGTGTTAGAGAGGTAAATATCAAAACACTTCAACTCAAATTGTTTGCTGATAATAAAATGACCAAGTTTCATTTAGTAGGGTTTTTTTCGGCCTTGTTCTCCTCATGATAATGGAATAAATGGCCCTGTTCCCAGATACACTGAATCAGAGTTGTGTCCCTTAGATAAGACAGGAATGTACAACCTGTGTCCTGATCTGAATCTCTGTTGGCAGTAGTTTCGCACTTGTGAGTGTGAGTTTAGCGACTCAGCAATTTCCAGCTTTATGGCGGCGGTCTGTAAATAAATCACGCCTGGACCAGAAATGAGAACAACAGATGACATGTGTCAATGACATGTGTCAATCCAAGTCAGCGAGCCTGACCACCCGATCCCGTTAGTCGCCTCTTACGACAAGCATGGGTTACTGAGGATCAATATTCTAACTCGGACCTTCACGAGTTTTCGCACTTGTGACCATAGCGTAACAAAGCACCATCTGGCGGCTATCCAGAAATCTATACAGTTTTGTTTTTGCTTACTTTGTGTCTCCAAGTTGTGTTAATACATGTAACAAATAGCTAGATTTTTCCTTATCCTGACTCATGCTCTTTTTGCTTGTCTTCTTCTTCTTGCGAACATAGTGGAACACTTGTATCTCCCTAATTGAAGCTCCCTTCAATTTAAAATCACTAATTAGTATTCACCACGAGTTACCTCCTTTCCACAAGCGCGGGAACGAGGGCGCCACCTCTACCCATGTGCCTCACTCTCTCCTTCTTCGCCCAGTGAGCTGGACGTGAGAGCGCCTGTGTCTCCCGACACACTATATCCTTTGAATTATATTTAGTTAGTTACCTCATTATAGACATCTATAGAGGTTTAGCTAGTATCCTTCAACGATTATATATTGATATTTAGTCGTTTTCTACAGTTTATTCACGGGGCGCCGTGTTTGTTTCAGTGGATTACGTTGATGAAAATTCTGTACTATTGCAGATTACGTTTTATGCTGCTGCTGATCCGCCTTTAATATGATGTACGGCCATGATTATTATATTCACATTGCAGTTGCGGTACTAATTTATCCAATTCTACCTTTTTATTAATATTTACTTTGCGTTTGGCACGCACAGCAGATAGGTCGCGTATGCAGAGTCTAGTATGACTGATACACGGAACCCCTCGCCAGTCTACTGCTGTTGGCCGACTCCCCTCCGTGTGGTGTTCCGCTAGAGTGGTGGAGAGGTGTGGGGCGTAGTCCGCCATCTCCAAAGCATCCTGCTTCCCCAGACATCCCATCGTCGCAGCAGAAGACTAGAGGGTTTTCTACTACATCTCAACAGCCGAGACCGTTCCCCATCGCAGTTTTGGGCCTGTATGATGATCAGCCGGTCATCATACGGATGTACATCAAAGATTGACCCGATGTCGGCACAGATCAGCATGCAGCCTGATGTACCAACGCCAGATATCGCGATGATCGTCCTGAGGGTCCCATCATTACCAACACTCAAGCGCAGGCATTCGCACACCCAGGGCAGCGTTGACCTCTGAGGAAAATCAGCGAAGTCTACTAGGACTTTCTCCACCGAGATTGTTCCAGCCGATGACCTGGACCTCCTACGATGATCAGCTGATCATCATCCCCGGCGTGACGCCACAAGAAGCGACCGGTGACAGCTACAACGACATCAGCAGAGATCACCATGCAGCCTGATGCCTCTACACTGATGTCGGACGATTTTCCGGTGGACCCCTCCATTAACACCGCCAGATAAAGCACCGGCGACCTCGCCGCCAGACCATCCCAGAAGACATGATGCGACAAATTATGAACATCATGGAGGACCACTATAATCTCGCGGTAGCAGGAGTCCGAACCAGCGAAGGCTCCAGCGTGAACAGCACCCCAGAGGCACCCCCGTCCAGCGTAGCAGCCAGGGCGATGTCACCTTCGCGAAGGAAGTCGCGGACCACCTTGACGAAGGACCTAGATGTACAGCCGGCGAAGGCCTTCGCCGGCGAAGGCGAAAGGACCTAGATGGACTAGATGTACAGCGCCGGCGGAAAGAACCTAGATGTACAGCCTTGGCGAAGGACCCAGCGAGAGGCAGGATAAATCATCACCTTATGCGGGTTCATCCCTAGATGTGGACTCGGACCATCAGACATCCACGGAAGCCTTAGCGAAGGTCATATCGTCGTTCCCCGGACTGGACGCAGAGGAAGCCAGCGAAGGCATCTTGTGAGACACCTGAATCCAGATCATCATCATCTAGAAGGACATCGAGGGACTATACAAAGCTTCAGCGAAACTATCAGCGTTCCCCTCACAAGTCTCGAGAAGATCAACCCATAGACAAGTTGATCATCGATATCAAGTATAAGAACTACAATCATTATATTGGTTCTGTTGAATCCATGGCGAGGCGGTATGTTAAGCTGGCCTAAATAGATCTAGAGCGATCAATTAGACACTTATCACCAGACTTAGTAACCACGACTTCTGAATATGATAAGATGATCCATGCTGACCCTACTTAGGCAAGCTTACGCCCGATCCACATCCTGTTAAACACAGAGGCTGTTCCGCGAAGCAAGCTCATATATATATTTATATATATATATATATACTAATCGGGCTTTGACTTCGACACCTTCGCGATGGTCGCGAAGGCTAAGTAACTCAAGTCTACTTCACCCAGAAGATCTAGAAGGGATACCGAGAACCCAGCGAAGTCTCCGGCGTTCACCGAGGAAGTCTCCTCCAAGGTTTCCATATACTAGCCACTTTCGTCATATATAGCTACTTTCGTCAGTCCGTTCAAGGCGCCGCATAAGTTGATTATCAACTGTATGCCAGATGCCGTCTATAAGCCCTCTGCGAAGATAATTGCTCAGGCTATTTACAACACAGAGCGTCGCTGTATTATTAGTCAAGCGACATTTCATAGATCTTCACAGAAATCAACTATTCGTATAAATTGCTAATATACAATCCCGGACGACGATACGATTATCTACATGCGTGACCATTACGCATATCTGCAGACAATTCAATATCGAAATTGAACAGCAGCCTTGTTACAGCGAAAGTATAACTCTTAATCGTCAAAGTTTCTGAGAAGAAATATGTACAACAAGTTCAACGTTAATTCTACAATTATGACGATACATTCATGTATACAGTCTACAAGCTCACAACTTGCAAGTTGTTTATACCCATATATATAAGGAAGTTGAATTATATTCAAAACTGAAATTACTTTCACGACAACCAGGAAAATAACCTACCCAGCATAAAATTACAGAAAGCGAGATATTCGGCGGCGGAGGTTTCAGCGATTACCATTAACCCTCGAAACGCGTGGTCACTTTCGGATAACCGGGAAGCTACGGTGAAGACCGGCGTTTATGCTAATATCCAGCGGCGACAAGAATTTATTCAAGGTGGGTTTTTCCGCTACACCGGTGACATCACAGCGGGTATTATACAGAATCAAAATGCCTTGTTCTGATTGGACCGCGAGGGACAGCGACCTACACAGAGGTCGATCTCAATTCACAGTTCAAGACTTACGTCACAAGTGACAACTATATATCAGTGAGCGAGCAAGCCTCATTACAGTCCAGTTAACCTGAACATTCATGATTAGACTGCCTTTCTTCAAGTTAGAGACCTCCCTGTCAAGTTAAGGCGAGGGATCGGCAGTCGAAGCGATTTTACATAAAGTTCAGCGAGGACAGACACACCTGGTTGTGCACCTACATCGTCAAAAGGACTTAGCAGGCGAATTACCTAGGCGAAGATACAAGTGGATCTAAATCCACAGCGTTTCGAACTACAGCTGAATTTCATCAGCGACTAACACAACTAGATGGTTAGTAAACCTACTAAACTTCTGTTTGGAGAATAAAGCGGAAATTTCCACGCCCAACCTGGGGATATGAATATAGTGCTCCAACACCTCACAAGTGAGGTTTATGAACACGCCTGGATGACATACTTGGACCCCATGATACGATGATTCTATCAAGATGGCCAGCAAGAGCACTGTAAATTTATCTCCACCAAACCAAACAGGAGGAAAAATGCAACAGATTATTTCCTCTATCATCAACTTACGCATGAGTGAAGTCTCATGTACTATATCTCCATTTGGATCAGAACTGTCATACTACGTGCATATGCGGATGGACCTATTCCGACCCTCCATGAGCTTAATACTCATGATATTATAGCGCTAACTTCTACAATTGTTCTACACAAATGTGAATGAAATAATGGAGGGTTTATTTCTGAAATCGATATGGTGGTTGCAAACCATTATCTGAGAGATATCACCACCGAGGACGTCTCAGGTATACACCAATTCGATCCCATGGTCCTCGCACAACAGCTGACAGTTCCTCGGAGAAGATAAGTCAATCTAACAGATTTTTACTTATCTTATAACAATACTAAATAGCTTCATGCTATGTATAATTTACTTAAGTTCCTTTTATCATCACAGTACTATGATTATTACATCATACAATATATAAGTTAACAACTATACAGAGTTTGTTATTATATATATTTACCTTAAGTTATTCATATCTTAAGAGTAATACTATGGTTACATGATAAATGCATTAGCTAACAAACTCTACAGAGTTTTGGCTATTTTATACATAGCTTAAGTTAATTAAGCTAACAAACTCTGACGGAGTTTTACTATTATATAGCTAACTTAAGCTAATTATACCTTAAGCATAGTACTATACTCATATTATTAAAATATATTGGCTAACAAACTCTAAGGAGTTTTGCTATTATATAGGTAGCTTAAGCTTATTCATATCTTAAGCTTAGTACTATGTTTATATCATATAAGTAGATTAGCTAACAAACTCTAAAGAGTTTTTGCTATTTGGCTTAAGTATCATCATATTTCTAAGCAATATGGTTATATTATAACATGTATTAGCTAACAAACTCTACAGAGTTTTAGCTATTATATATGTAACTTAAGCTTATTCATATCTTAAAAGCAGTACTATGTTTATATCATATAGGTATATTAGCTATCAAAACTCTAAAAAGAGGGTTTTGCTATTATATATTTAAGCTTAAGTTTCATCATATTTTAAGCTTTATGGTTTACATTATAACATGTATTAGCTAACAAACTCTACGGAGTTCTTGCTATTATATATGTAGCTTAAGTTTTCCTTCATAAGCTCAATACTAGGTTTATATCATAGCTAACAAACTCTAAAGGGTTGTTTTTGGCTATTATACAATTAGCTTAAGTTTCATCATATCTTAAGCAGTATGTTTACATTATAAAGGTATTAGCTAACAAACTTCGACGGAGTTTTGTTATTATATATATATAGCTTAAGTTTCATCATAACTTAAGCTCAGTACTATGTTTTTTAACATAAAAAGTATATTAGTTAAACTCTAAGGAGTTTATTTTGCTATATACATTTAGCTTAAGTCTAATCTTATCTTAAGCTTAGTACTATGGTTACACTATAAACATATTAGCTAATAAACTCTACGGAGTTTTGCTATTATATATGTAGCTTAAGTTCATTATATCTTAAGCACACTACTATACTCATATTGTAAAATATATTAGCTAACAAACTCTACGGAGTTTTGCTATTATATATGTAGCTTAAGTTAATTATATCTTAAGCACACTACTATACTCATATTGTAAAAATATATTAGCTAACAAAACCCTACAGAGTTTTGCTATATATATGTAGCTTAAGTTAATTATATCTTAAGCTCAGTACTATACTAATATTATAAATATATATTAGCTAACAAACTCTACAGAGTTTGGCTATTATATATGTAGCTTAAGTTAATTATGGCTTAAGCACAGTACTATACTCATATTATAAAAATATATTAGCTAACAAACTCTACAGAGTTTTGCTATTATATATGTAGCTAAAAGCTTATTCATATCTTAAGCTCAGCATTATATCTATATCATATAAGTATATTAACTAACAAACTCTAAAGAGTTTGCTATTATATAATTAGCTTAAGTTTAATCATATCTTAAGCTTAGTACTATGTTATATCTTAAAGTATTTTAGCTAACAAACTCTAAGGAGTTTATACTAGCATATTAACAAGCTTAAGTCTATTAGTCTTAAGCATTGTATTAATGTTATATATACTTTATCATAATAAGTACATGGTAATAACCTTTTATATGGCAGCTGATAAGTTAGCAGCAGGAATTCATCAGTTCAGTGCCTTTATGAAGTTCCCATAGGGTTATTACAATCATCACAGTTCAAATCACTAATTATTAAAAATCCAAAGTATTAGATATTCCCACCTCCGTTCAGTGGCATGCTACAAGCAAAAGAGCATGAGTCAGGATAAGGAAAAATATGTAATTTTGGAGTAAAATTGATATTTTATACTTATCCTGACTCATGGGGTCAGCCCTCCCATCCTCCCCAAATAACACTTTGGATTTCCCTGTAAATTCAAATGTTGGGCTCAGTATATGAGGAGAGAGTGAGGCACATGGGTAGAGGTGGCCCTCGTTCAGCAGCTTGTGGAAAGGAGGTAACTCGTGGTGAATACTAATTAGTGATTTTAAATTGAAGGGAGCTTCAATTAGGGAGATACAAGTGTTCCACTATGTTCGCACGCAAGAAGAAGAAGACAAGCAAAAAGAGCATGAGTCAGGATAAGTATAAAATATCAATTTTACTCCAAAAATTACATTTTTATAGCTTTGTAGAAATAACCTCTATTTTTCTGGTAGCAGAATGGATAAAATAGAGTTTGAAATGCACATGCTATTGCATTAAATCTGATCTTAAAAGGTATTGTTGAAATAGGTGTACCTTTGAATTTGGCACAAAAGGACTCATGAAAATAACAATTTTGAACCCTATGAATGATATTTTTCCAATCATGTACCTTTTATCATGAGTTAATGGTATGTCTGATTTGTGGAGAATTACAGAAAATAATTGTAGCACATGACATGTTTTGTAACAAATGCTATGATCAGTGAAAGTTGTCACAGTGCGAAATAACCACTGACATAAGCAGTTATACAAGTGGTATAATGTACAGAAGTATAATATTTGGATGGAAGACTTCTCATCTTCAACATATTTCCTATTTCAGTACAGACTTCCACACTGTTCTGCAACGTGTCTGGATCGTGGGTTCGCTCGACTACTGGATGGAGTAGCTGAACACTATAAACATCAAATGACTTCAGAAAGGTAGGTAGTGAGGGAGACCTGTGTTTTATATGTTAATAGGGGTCAGTGGTGGTGGTTAATAGAGGATATTACGTGTGTCTAGTGAAGCATGATGGATCTATCTTCGAGTGACGTGAAAAACGTGATATTTTAATGAGTGGCATAGTGCACTTAACAGAACCCCCAAATCTATTGGTTCATAACGAGATGGTGGCCACTTGAATGCGTGCAAACACCCAGTTGCGGGTACGTCAACATGCAGCAAACTTGAACAAAGTACTGTGACTATGTGTCCCAGTCCACCCAGCTGTGAATGGGTACCTGGTAAGGGTGAGAAAGCCGCAATAACTCGTTGGGCCCAGTGGCTGCAAGAGTTGTATGATCCAAAGGGAGTTGAGATCGATAATTCGATGTGCCTTTGAGATTGACATCCAGTGATCGAGGGAAAAAATACCAGCATCTTGAGCTTGTACTAGTTGCTTGGATATGTGCGCTATATAAATATATCCAATAATAATAGCCATGAGTGAAAATGTGATGTTCTCTGTCACAAGATCACAGATACATCATCTTTCATTAGACACATGAGATATTCTATTTATTATATGTTTCCAGTTTTGTTTGTTTTTGTCCCCCGCCGCAACGCGGAACGGGGGACTATGTATTCAGCGGCGTCCGTCTGTCCGTCCGTCCCCGATTCTTGTTAACGCGATATCTGATGAACGTTATTAATCTGAGAAAATCTTATTAGGTAAATCCATATTCTCCCAACTGTAAACTAAAGACTGTTCACTTCTTTGTTCAGGCAAACACATAAGCCATAGTTACCTACTGGAAAATGAAATAAACATTGACACAACACATATCTGTATCAGTTGCTGCGTTTCTATTTGTGAGGTGAGGTGAAATTGGGTTTTACGTAGTTCTTGAGAATATTTCGCTCATATGACGACGTGCATCCGTGTGTATGTGTATGTGCGGCTGCTTGTACTAGCCCAGACTTAAGCTGGTTTTTTAGAGCTAGCCCACTGAGATAGCATGCCGCAGTGAAGCCTGAATACCCCACTCAGACACATTATACTGACTCTGAGCCGACCAGTCCTTGTTGTACCCATTAATGCCGAGCGCCAGGCAGGGACCAACAAGTACCATATTTTAACGTCTTTTGGTATGACACGGTCGGGGATCGAACCCGCAACCTTCCGCTCTCCGGGCGGATGCTCTAACAACTACACCACGGAGGCGGTCTTCTATTTGTTGTCTCATAGACAACCTGGGCCCTGTTTCGCAAAGCTCTCGTAAGCCTAAGATCTCGTAACTTTTCTCGTAGCATACCTCCTATGTTAAAGTATAGGAGGTACGACTGCTACGAGAAACGTTACGAGAACTTAGGCTACCGAGAGCTTTGTGAAACGGGGCCCTGGGTAGTACAGTCCCTGGGGAGCAGAAAATGAAAATCGAGTTCAGTGATCCATTGACCAGAATAATATTTCTCTTAATGCTTTGAGCTGGTAAGATCTTGTCACCTGTATAACACAATACAAACATGCATTATTATCATTGTTATTGTAATTTCAGCAGTCTCCATGAGGTCATCATTCCTGTAGCTAAGCTTATCCCAGTCATCAGCAGTCTGGTCTTCCGAATCTGTAGCGACGCTCCCAACCCATTTATACAGGTAACTTGATCCCACCTGTGTCCAGACCCTGTTTATTTTAGGAGATTGTTGTGACAGTTGATTTAATGAACCAGGTGGTCAGACCTGTGGATGATAGCCTCTCAGGATATCCAGACAAGTGGATTGTTTGTCATTATATCAATCACTGGTTCGCTTCTAGTCCAGGATTGATTATTTACACACTGCTGTCACACACATGGAATATTGCTGTGTGCAGCTTTAAACGACAAGCCAATCACACCTGAGGTGGCTCTATAATTATGAATCTCAAATTTGACATGATTGTGTTCAGGACTATGCTAACAAATTGGTAAGCCTCCACCCATCCACAGCGATGTTGGTAGAAATTGCTGACAGTAGCATCATTTAACACTTGCTCTTCGTCTTCCTCAGGAGCAGCTGCTACTTGATGAGGTGAAGGCGTTTTCCGTCATAGCGCATAATGCGACGTTCAGCCAGGACAGCGCCGCTCCAACATGATCAGCCGGCGATGTAGCAGCATCATTCCAGGAACACAGTGCCACAGAATCCCAGTATTCCTTGACCAACTCTGCTGTCATATTGCTTCCAGTCACATCTGTGTAACTTAAAGAAATGTTACTGGAGTATTAATAGTCTGTTAAGAGTCAAACACTGTTGCTGTTGAAGGGACCTCTGTCAATATGAGTTATCCAACGCTCGACAGCCGCGAAATGCTGAATAAGGAAGTAATATGCTGGGACCAACCGTTTACCTCAAGACAATCAAAGTTCCACTCCTCAAAGATTGCCACAACAGTGTTCGACTCTGTTTGTACGGAGGATGAACACATGATCACACTTCATGGGCTTCAGTGTACCTCTCCATGACCGTGAATAAGGACTGGAGTGGGTAACTCAGGTGGGTTCTGACGTGGGTGGGGCGGTGTGGTGGCCTTGTAGTTAAAGTGTTCGCTCATCATGCCGAAAACCCGGGTTCGATTACCCACATGTACACGTGTGAAGCCCATTTCTTGTGTCCCCTGCCGTGATACTGCTGGAATATTGCTGAAAGAGGCGTAACACTAAACTCACTCACTCTCACCTGGGTACCCACAGGACAACTAAGAAATGATGTTAGTGACGTAATTATTGTTTAATGTCAATAATTCCCCTTACGTAATGCTTACCATATATTACCATAGATAAGCCGAATTTTGAGGACAAATAAAAGCAAGTCTATAGAAAGTTGTTGACTTATCTACAGGTTACGCTTTCATCAAATTTGTTTTCTGGTGGTAAAAAATAGTGGTGTAACGATTCATCGATAGTATCGATGTTTGCATCGTCAACTACGCGATACGAGTGCATCGATACAAAACATGTTTAGGCAATATATCAGGATATTTATATCGCAAGGGTCCATGATACATCGATGTATCGCCACAAGAGACGACATATCCCGATACTACTTAAATATTACTTAAAGTTGTAGGGAGTATTGCATAAGTAATAGGAAGGGAGTCTCTTTGAAATTTTTCTTATTTTAAAAACAAACTGAACCTAAAAGGAATTTGTGTCTGCCATCTTTGTTACATGAACAAAGGAGTTAGTGTATCAGTGAAAGCATGTGAACAATCTCTCTGAACTGTAAAACACTTGTCTTTAAGTAATTGAAACATGTTTTAGTTGTTTGACAAATAACACCAATTATTAACAACTATGAACGATGTCTTAGCTTTGTTAAGAAAGGGAAGCTAAATTTAGAAAGCATACTTATGAGTTTTTTGCAGTGATTCTGGTATAAATTACTGTATAAATTGTCTGTGAAAGCATTGGTGCAGAAACACAACTTCCCAAGGGAAACCTAGATCAAGGTATACTGAATATGTTTGATTGTATTAAATGCTGAAACTTAATTACATGAACAGCCTTTTAAGTGTGTGTGAATGTAACACATGTTCTGCTGAATAACAAGTAAAGATTCAGTCATTTTATCTATCATATATGTCCTGTTTTGAGGATTGTAAAGTATCGGGATAAGTATCGTATCGCCATCACTGTATCGTGATGATAATCGTCTCGCAGGTTCCTTGCCAATACTTTCATGATATATCGTCTTGCCACATTAAATTAGTATCGGGATATATCGTCTCGCCACTTAGGCCACGATACACAGCTCTAGTAAAAAAACGACATTGTATCACTTTGCTTGAACGATATGAGAAAACAACTCTGTCAGTGAAGAAGTCAAACTTGCAATTAAACATCACTAGACACGAGTATGTACCTGTACAGTTTCAGTTTGTTTCAGCTAGGCATGGTAAGTCACTGTTGTTTGCATTTGTTTCTGACTGCTAACTTTCCGGCTAACATTTATATGTTTGAAAAAGATGCTACTTCAGTCAACTACAGTGTATGGATGACCAGATCATTTCATACGTGTCTGTGAATACTAGACATTGATCTATCATGTGTATTAATCTGTGATGAAGGAAATCAGTGTATTCAAGTACATGAAGAATTAACTATTGGAGGTGAACAAATGTACGTATATATTCAAGCCCATAGTGTTGATATGTTGTTCCATCACCTGCATGGATGATGGAGGCATAATCACAGATAACTTTTGATGTGCGAATGTATGACATCATATTGCAAGTGGAGGTGTACTGAGAGAATTTTGAATGTACTGACATGTTTTTACTGGCCTGCGAGTTGGTGATGTGGTTTGTCTGGGCGATTCATTGATCACTATTTTCAACCATGTATTTGTATTTGAAGGCGTGAATTTAACTAGCGACCGTGTGATTTTGAAAGCAGGTCCAACTGGATATAAATAGGAACAGTGTAGTTTGTATTGAAAAATAGATATCCATATGGCAGTGGAAGTGATTCCTATCGGGGGTTTCCTCATGTGTCAAATCGTTTTTATAAAAAACACTTGACAAGTATTTATCGAAGTAGATTTCCATTTGATGATCACGCGAAATTAAAAGTTAGGCGTGCAGAGTTATTTGTAATGCGATAACGATTTTTGAAATCTTATATTGGTGGTGTACTTAATTGATTCAAGCCCATAAGTGTTGATGTGTTCTTCCATCACCTTATTTGTAACCCTGGAGGAATGTCGTGAGAAGTACAGTGACGTACTGTTAAGTGAGTGATATATGTATATATGTATGATTGTTATAAGGAGAGTGAGATATGGGTAACTTCATGAGTCTGTTTTCTTATCATATTTACAAGAAGAATATATTGATAGTTCCTGAAACTGGTTAGGAAACCACATCACCTGCTGCTGAGGGATGCTTACGTAGGTGTGAGAGGTTTTGTTGCATTTGAACTTGAAATATGTCTTGCACGGCAGTCAACCCTGTTTCCTGGCTTTGAAGAAAATCTGGGAATAATTGATTGTTGTGAAACAATGTTTCTGAACTCCATACTGTGAGTTGTTATTATGATATTTTACTCTGTATCTCTGAGTATATTTAAGTACAGTTTATTTAAGAGATTATTATTGGGCTTATGAGACAATAGTATATTTCCTTCAAGTTTCTTCTCCATAGAAATTCATCTGAGATCAAAGATTTATTCAGATATTTGAAACCCCTCTGGAAATCCTGCAGAATAATTTTTGTGAAAACTGTTTTCTGAGCAGGGGACCAGGTGGCCCAATCGTCTAGGACGTTGAAGTTTGATGTGGAAAGAAGTGTTCAAAGCACTGACTCATCAAACCGGTTGCCATCCTTGGACATACCTTGAAACCTCTGATTCTGAGTTCGAATCCCAGTTCACCATGGTTTCAGGTTTGTCAGCACCATACTAAAGTTATTGGGCTTCACCAAAGTGGTGAAAGTGGAACGCCTGCACAGTTCGGGCTTTCCTTCCAAGCTGACATGTCAAAATATAACTGAAATATTGTTCATGGTAATCACAACTCACTCACTCACCCATTTACGTTCAGTCTTGTCATAAGATGAATAAAGGTATTGTAAAGCTTCTGAAGTGTGGGAAGTTCTTAATACAGATATAATAAACCTGTAGTTAGGAGACACATGCTTGGGACTGCATTAGATTGGAAACATGGACGATTCATGGCATGTGAGAGAATTACATTTATTGTAAACACAGATCATTGAGGGAATTGTATACATTCTTATGGATCAATTACAGAATAAATGATATGTTATTTCATTGGTTTTTATTGCGTTTTATGTAACAAAAGTAAAAGTGTTTATTTTGGTGAGTCTGAACTTTATGAGGATTCCGAAGATCAGTTTATGTGACTAGGCCCTTATATCCCAACATTTTATGAGTTTTTACTCATGCTATCAGTCATTGATTTGCAGTCAAGACATGACAAGTGACTGGTGTGAGTATTTCTGTCTGGAGCATAAAAACAACATTTAGAGACGCCAACCTCTATGATGTCCTTGTAGTCGCTACAAATTTATGTTCAAACTATACCAATATGATTGCACTAGAAATTCTATGAAATTTGAAGAAAATTCATTCAAATTCAGATACACAGACAAAAATGTTTTCATTGATTAAATACATTTTCGCCAAACAGACGTCTAGAAGAAATGTAATGCTGATCATTTGAAATCTGCTGTTAGAGGTATGTGAAATTAAAGCTTCACTCTTGATTAGTGTCATATTATCTTTCTCAGAATCCAACTTAATTGTAAGTATTTTTTTTACTAATTTTATGGTCAATCTACTAATTTTGATACTTGAAACTACAATTTGCAACACTCTGGGGTTGGCATCTCTGAACATTCACTCCTCAGGAGCAATCTTTTGTGACACGGAGAAGAAAGGAAGTAGCAGGCAGGGAGACAACAAGTGTCATTTGTTAACATCTTTTTATATTACGCTGACAGGGATCGAACAACTAACCTCCTGCTCTTCAGGCAGACACTGTCCACATGACTGCAGAACCAGTCACCTAGTATATTCAAAGACACTGTGGTTCGGTGGGGCGGCCTAGTGGTTAAAGCGTCCGCTTGTCATACCAAAGCCCCAGGTTCGATTCCCCACATGGGTAAAATGTGTGAAGCCCAATTCTGGTGTCCCCTGTGGCAATATTGCTGGAATATTGCTAAAGTGTCATAAAACCATACTCACTCACTCATTCTCTCAAAGACACTGAGTGAGTGAGTTTAGTGTTACGCCTCACTCGGCAATACAAAGACACCGTGCAGAAACAAAAACAAGACAATACTCAAGTATATTGATTTAATTCTATGTCAAATAAAGCTCCTATACACGTGATTCCTACGTAACTAAGCACTAAAACAGTGTCTATGACTTGAAGCATATTCATATTCAATACAAATATAAATTTAAACATTTAGCAACATTTTCACAAATGTCATATATGCCAAAATATGACATCAAACTAAAATTCATTTATATGGAATTAAACAGAATGCCACAAAACAACCCAAAAGGATTCATTAAAAAGTAAAAATATTATCACCAAATACTCACTGGAATTTGACATGGTAACGTACTGTAAACAATGAAATTTATGTCTCACCAAATTAATCCAAGTGTTGATGTCAGGCCTAAAATGTCATGAAATTAACAAGAGTAGCACTTCCTTGCAACTTACTGGCAAACAAGGATAAGTTGAGCACCGACCTGATAATTGACCAGTATTAGCATGTATGATTGCCGCCCACAGGCGCTTGTCATTGTTAGCAAAGGGGCCCCAGGTTGTCCGCGATCAAGTGTAGTGCTACACTGACAACTGAGAGTCTTATGAGCAAAATCAATTTCATCGTCTTGCACTGCAGGTGCACTAGCCTACATCTGCTCTACCTTTCACAAACCACATGGGTTTGCTCATTGCCTCGCGGGGACGGTGGGGTAGCCTAGTGGTTAAAGCGCATTTGCACGAAGACCGGGTACAATCTACATGGGTACAATATGTAGCCCATTTCAGGTGTCCCCCACATTGATGTTGCTGGAATATTGCTAAAGGCAGCATAAAACCAAAACTCAGTCAGTCAGTCATTGCCGTGCACCGCCTACTTCTCTGCGCCGCGTCCAACTTATCCTTGTTTGCCAGTAAGAAGCTAATCAGGGACAATACCAAGATTGTAGAACTAGAACTCCCTGACATGGTAAGAGGTGACAGGTGTTTGAATGAATACACAACTCTCAAATTTAACTTCCAATGCTTGATGTGATGTAACGTCTATGAAATCTACAAGAGAAAATTCCAAGTATTTGATATTCAAATTAGCTCTGGTCTATGATGACGATTGTACAGGGTTGAAGCATTGTTACACGAGTAATTGTGATCCTTTGAACGTAAGGAGCAGTGTAGTACATTCACTACAACAGCTGTCACTGTCCTGGACATGTTTTTCTTGTGATTATAAGACTAGAAGAGAGACACTGCCATACCCCATTGGCAACTGTTTGAACAATTGTGTGAACATCCCGACCACACTTAACCTTGAACTTGGTAAGAAACACTGTCGAAATCTAGTGGTCAATTACTGATACTTTGCTTATTTTTAGCTTTGTCATTGTTTTGTGGTCGGTGCAACGTGACAATATACTCCAATACGTCCAGATAAACATGCATCACCTTGAACTTTTTCTCATTAATTTCATACTTGCATTAATTTTCCGATTTTCTAATCAAAGCTGGCCTTCCAGGCTGCATATGATCCCACATTACCAACTAGTACCCATATGAGGAAAAATTCAAAAACATAACAGAAAAACAAAAACAAACACCCACCCAAAGAAAATAAATACCAACCAAACCACCCAATACATACAGCGAATTTACCAATTAATAATTTGTACAAAAATTAAATATGCAACTAATAAACCCCTTCAGTTTACCCTATCTTTTGGTCATAATCCCCCGTTTTGATCAAACACCAAATGGCCTGGTGTGCAAAATACACATGTTGGAAAGCATACATAAAATCTCCAAATCATCTTAATACATTTCCTGATTTACAGCTGTGCCTCCATGTTGACACGAGGTTTGTCATTGTTAATATTGTAATATCACAGTTATTTCAAAGGAACAAATAAAAACCATTTTGTAAAACCTGGAATACATTCACAATAACTAAACATTCAGAGTTGTCTCCACTTGTCTCAACTCAAAGAAACAATTAAGAATGGCTATGTACTTTCTTGATATAGAAAATACAGATGCCTAAATTCCCACTTTAAAATCTTCAAAACAGTATTTCTCGTGTATATGAGCATGAGACACAAATGACATTTCATAACATATATTTACCAAAAACAATAATTAAAAAAGAAGAAATAACACATATTTATCATTACTGAAGAAAATAAATGGCACATCACGACTGTCACTTTGAGATTATTGACCTTAAAAGAAATTCCAGGAATTACTGAAAAAAAACATCCCAAGTTATTGCTCAAGTTGTTTTCAAAAAGTCTGGATAAGCTCGAGATCCTGACAAAAATGTGCCAAAAATTGTTTTTAAATTATTCAATCCTTAAGGGAAAACAATAAATCTGGTAAATGACAGTTGTCCCTCTAAAAAACATTGAAAGGCCATTTTTCTTGAAGACATTATATGATATGGGTTCATTAAATGTAAAACCACCAGATTATACAAGGACATGTCTAATTTAGTCAATAACAAAACATGTGAATTTTCTTTGTGTACATGTATCAATGACAGGAATGGGACTGTAGGAATGTACAGGTGAATATAAACAAAACACTCAGCACAAAATACTGTTATCAAACTAAAATAACTCTGATAAATATCATCACACGTGGACGGAGTTAGCACTGGTTATAGTGTAAAGCTAATGTATTATCAGCAGTTACCATAATTATTCTATTATTTCACGCAGGATATATCATTCTGATAAACTAGGGCACCTGCTCTTGCAAAGTGAGTGTGAAACTTGATGAAGGTAAATACTGGTTTGACCAATTTTACAAATATTGGAATCTGAAATAAGTGGAATCAGGCTTAAATAAGCTTAGGTCCTTTCAGAGAGTTTTCAAAACTGGATCTTAAGAAATATATTCTTTAAACAACAGGATCAAATAAGTATTTTTCTTATTTCACAAAATTGTGGGTATATTTATCTGTTTAATTTAGAATCAGACATGCATTGTTCATGAATTGTCAAATATCTCTTTGAAAAATATGAAGGTAGTTAATATAATTGCCTATGACGTTGTTAAGAGGGGGCTTGTAGGAGAGTAATTATGGTAAATGCAAAACTATCAGAAATCTGAAGTATTATGCTATTTTGTGACAATGTTCCTGCGTACAGCAAAGAACAGCACAACTAATCTCAATATCTACATGTGTCAACAAACGAGGTACATGTAAAACAGTGGAAGTCCTATAACAATAATAGAACATCAACAAACTATATACATGATATATGTCAGTATATATATGATATATCGCAGTATATATATGATATATGTCAGCAGTTATTAATACCAATTCATGAAAGATCACCTATCCTGTGAGTTATGACAATGTGACCTCTAACCCTTTATATAACGTGAAGGCAATCGATGTTATGTCTTTATATAACGTGAAGGCAATCGATGTTATGTCTTTAAATAATTGCCAGGGTCACAACCCAATATGTGGATTAAATAGGTAGTATAGGGAAGGGGGTCACGAGATCAAACCGCTTCATTGTCTTATTTCTAGGCCAATTCGGCTACTAGCGCCTCCTTAATAACTGACGTCCACGTTTCTGTGTATTTGAACCACTCTAGGAACATTGAGACAAACATCCGAAGAATATTACCTTTTGTTAAATACAGTGGACATGTATGTACTGATTCTGATGCAGCATCATGTGACCTCACATTTCCTGATGCAGCATCATGTGACCTCACATTTCCTGATGCACCATCATGTGACCTCACATTTCCTGATGCACCATCATGTGACTTCACCTTTCCTGATGCACCATCATGTGACCTCACATTTCCTGATGCAGCATCATGTGACCTCACCTTTACTGATGCAGCATCATGTGACATCACATTTCCTGATGCACCATCATGTGACCTCACATTTCCTGATGCACCATCATGTGACTTCACATTTCCTGATGCAGCATCATGTGACTTCACATTTCCTGATGCAGCATCATGTGACCTCACATTTCCTGATGCACCATCATGTGACTTCACATTTCCTGATGCAGCATCATGTGACCTCACCTTCCTGATGCAGCATCATGTGACCTCACATTACCTGATGCACCATCATGTGACTTCACATTTCCTGATGCAGCATCATGTGACCTCACCTTTCCTGATGCAGCATCATGTTACCTCACTGATGCACCATCATGTGACTGCAGCTGATGCAGCATCATGTGACCTCACCTTTCCTGATGCAGCATCATGTGACATCACATTTCCTGATGCACCATCATGTGACCTCACATTTCCTGATGCAGCATCATGTGACATCACATTTCCTGATGCAGCATCAAGTGATCACAAATTTCCTGATGCAGCATCATGTGACTTCACATTTCCTGATGCAGCATCCTGTGACATCACATTTCCTGATGCAGCATCAAGTGATCACAAATTTCCTGATGCAGCATCATGTGACCTCACATTTCCTGATGCAGCATCATGTGACCTCACATTTCCTGATGCTACACAATGTGATTTCACATTTTCTGATGCAGAATTAAGTGACCTCACATTTCCTGATGCTACACAATGTGATTTCACATTTCCTGATGCAGAACAATGTGACTTCACCTTTCCTAATCCTTCACAATGTGACTTCACATTGCTAATTCTGCACAATGTGGCCTCTGTTAATGCTGCACAATGTGACCTCACTTTTTTTAATGCTGCACAAATGACATCACATTTCCCAAAGCAGAACAATGGGACCTCAAATTTTAGTAGACATCTGTGCTTACTGCCATCAGTGAGGACACTGGCTGACAACAGCATGACCTCTGACATGACATGGCTATTTACTGACAACAATATGCTCATTGACTGGCATGGGGGCTAGACACAACTATTTCAACATGAATACATGACAACAATGATGACGATGATTATTATGATTATGATACGACTCTGCCTTCACACTCAACATGCATGAGGACATTCACATTTAATGCTTATGACCTTCACAGATCAGCACTGGTCAACACTGGACAATGGTGTTTAATGCTGGACAGTACTGTTAAACACTGGTCAATAATGGTCAAAGCCAGTCAGTGCAGGTAAATACTGAGCATCACTGATCAACACTGGTCGGCACTGGTTAGTGCTGGTCAGTGTTGGTCGAAGCTGGTCAGTGCCAATCTATACCAGTCTTTACCGGTTAATACTGGCTGAGCACTTGTCAACACACTTGCTGATCCACAGAGGTTGTTCAAGAGCACGCCATTCTTCTTTCATCAGATTTCTTACGACTTGAGTTTTTTCCAAAATCTTGGATCTGCTTTTGACAGTGGTCAATATTGGTCAATGTTAGTCAGTAATGGTCCATGCTGGTCAACAAAGGTCTGCACAAGTCAGAACAAAGCAGATGGACGGAGCTTTCTCAAAACTTTAAACATAAAGTTAGACATTGACTGAAAGATTGTCAAAATATAGATAGTTGACACAATGACTATCATAGGTCAAACAGAAAATACAACAAGAAACATAAATAACAAATATAAACAATAAAATAAATCATTCTGACAAACACTACACATATCACAGTTTGCTTTGTCATGTGAAGATTTGTTAAGACCGAAATATTCAATATAATACTACGAACCCACAACCCAGTGACACACCAAAATGAACGCATTATGGATACAAAATAATGACTTTCCGCATATGTCATGTAAAAACATGATCTACATATTGTCCAATCTTGGTTAAATTCTGTGCACTATCTACTCTGAAATACATAAATAGACAACAATACATTTATGAAAATCTGATATGGAGAACTCATTATTGAGCAAGAGAGAAAACATTTAAAATTGTGTAAACATTTGTCAGCAATACTTTCAAAGTCATTTCATAAAATCCATTTGTTGTATCGCAGCAGATTATGTCGATCATCATGATTAGTATTTCTTATCGAGTAACTATGGTAACAGACAGATACGTGAGACTGTAAACGGAGGAAATATTTTGGGCGACATGCCACAACGAGGTCTTAGCGCTAAGGTGATCATACGTTGTACTTTAACAAGGGTTTATGATTAATGTGTAGCTGAGATCGCTGGGGAGAAAGGCTTGGCCTTTAAACAGTACTATGTATAAGGACCAAAATATGTATATATAAATATGTTTGATTTGTAAAAATATCCCAGATTTTGTAAACAGATATTGGTTATATATGGTTACCTGGAAGGATGATTTTAACATTTTAAAAAGATTCTTCCTCTGGAACTAATATCAGCATGGGAAATGAGTTTGTTCAGGTTGTGAGTCTGAAGAGATTCTGTTGCATAAAAATATGGATGCAGCAATAATTGTTGTCGCTGTTGTTGCTGCTGCTGCTGCTGCTACTTGAGCATACGATACATACACACAGACAACACCAGTTCCACCAGCTGAAATTATAAAAAGGAGTCATATTCAAAAACACATAAAATGCAAATGTCATAATGATCACGTTCAAATCATCCTACTATCGTGTCAATGACTGACTTATTATCACATAGATGGACCCATGAAGATCTGGGTTACGATTGATCTTCAGTAACTCATGCTTGTAAGAGGCGACTAACGGGATTGGGTGGTCAGGCTCGCTGACATTTCATCATATCCCAATTGCGTAAAACGATGTTCATGCTGTTGATCACTGGATTGTCATGTCCAGACTTGGTTATTTACAGATCGCCATCATACAGTTGGAATATTGCTGAATGCGGCTTTAAACAACAAAACAACCATAAATACACAAAGCTGGTGTTTTTACTAGTGTTGGGAATTGGTTGAAATCTCACAATTGATGATTGGTTCGATACCAACGACCAATCATCGAAAACAATTGGTTAGCGTCATTTTTTAGATTTTCCTATTCATGTTGTAGTTGCAGATAAGTATAAAGAAAAAACATTTGGTTCTCTGTTGTTGTTTTTGTTTTATTTAGAAACTACACAAATAACATTTGCAAATTTCACATCCAGTGGAAAATGATTCAGTTCCAGTGTAACATAAACTTCCCAGATTCTTCAAGAAATATTCAGTCATGAATTTTCAGAAAGTGAAGTGAGTTTTCTAAGAATTAAACACGTTTTCCGGCCCTGACAACGTCCTAGATATGTTCCATCATCAAGTATTTCAAACTCTATTACAGCGGTTCCAAAATCGTTTGTGTTCGATTATGAGAAAATGTGATCGATTGCTTGGTCGTTTGGCCACTGCGACCAATCTTCGATTATTTCAATTAATCGGACCACCACTAGTTTTTACTCACCAGAAAGACCCCGACAACTATGGCGTTGTTCCAATGACGATACCGGTTCCCCTGAGGTAACCATCTAGCAAGTCAAAACAGCCCTGAAGAAAGACAAGATGCAGACTTATGACAAGAGGTTATGCAGAATCTATAGAATCTAAACTAATAAAGCACCGATGCCATTGAGTGTAATCATGCCCTTGACATTCATGATATAAACCACTTGTTGCCCTGTGACTTCATTGTACGAACAGGGGCGGTGGGGTAGCCTAGTGGTTAAAGCGTTCGCTTGTCACGACGAAGACCCGGGTTCGATTCCCCACATGGGTACAATGTGTGAAGCCCATTTCTGGTGTCCCCCGCCGTGATATTGCTGGAAGCGGCGTAAAACTATACTCATCCACTCACTCATTGTACGAACCACCTGTTTTGATCGTATCAACTCAATAATTTTTTCAGGTTGCCATGGTTTTGTTGTATAAGATCTGAGGGCAGCAACTTCACTCACTCACACACTGCAAAACGTACCACATTGTCTCCAAACGAAAAACCAAGTTGATTTAAGTGTGTTTACGCACAGAATTCGTACAAAACTGTGGAAGGCCCAACATCAACTAGCAAAAGGTTCATTTCTGTATTATCCATTGTTCACCCTTATTTGGAACTTGAGAGTAACCTCCCTTTGACTGTGTATCAAAAGATTAAACTGTCATAGCAAAGGGTCTGACGGACCAAATCACTAAATATTCAGACTATATCAGCACACTGCTATAAGAGTACTGCATACCTATTCTTCCCTCGAGTCCGCCCGGAGAGCGGAAGGTCGCGGGTTCGATCCCCGACTGCGTCATACCTAAAAGACGTTAAAATATGGTACTTGTTGGTCCCTGCCTGGCGCTCGGCATAAATGGGTACAACAAGGACTGGTCGGCTCGGAGTCAGTATACTGTGTCTGAGTGGGGTATTCATGCTTCACTGCGGCATGGTATCTCAGTGGGCTAGCACTATAAAACCAGCTTCAGTCTGGGCTAGTACAAGCAGACGCACCTACACATACACACGCATGCACGTTGTCATATGAGCGAAGTATTCTCCAGCACGACGTTAAACCCAATTTCACCTCACCTCACCTCTTCCCTCGAAATAATCACCAAAAGACAAGATAGGAAGACAAGGTACATGCTTATTCTTCTAAACTAACTCTGATGGGGTTAAGCGGGGTTTTACCTCAACTCATAAACATAAATAATTAGTTTTAAGTGTCCTTGCGGACAAAATGAGAGTTCTGTGAAGTAACAGTGTAGAGAACTCTACATTTTGATAATTTCTTTAGAGCCTGGACTGATGGATGAAATGATGCATGTAACTGCTCTGAAAGAAACAACCAAACACTTAGCAAAGCCATAGATGTATTATGGCAGTGTATGAAATAAGGCCCGTCCGACCGCCCGAGATGGGCTAGATTTCTGACGGACGGTCTAAATTTACAGCTAGCCAGCCCGATGGTTCCATACATCTGAGTAAATTCACCATATCTTAGTGTCTGGTCTGGTTAAATCCATTTTGGGCTGGTAACATTTTGAAGTTACCAACCCTGATGTCTGGCTGGGTTTTTGGCTTATTTCATACACTGATTATGGGTACAATTAATAATATTTGGCATCCCTCTAGACACAAGTGAATTGTTTATCTGTGTCCATTCTCTACATTTGTGTGTACTTGATGCACATTTGCGTGTTGGGTAAAACCCTGGGCTTGTACACCTGAGAAGACAGCTGGTCCATTTACCACTGTGTACAGCATATATTGGGACCTACAGCAGACACGAAGAAATCTGTACGACCACCCACCGTTGTGTACAGCATATATTGGGACCTACAGCAGACATGAAGAAATCTGTACAACCACCCACCGTTGTGTACAAGCATATATTGGGACCTACAGCAGACACGAAGAAATCTGTACCACCACCCACCGTTGTGTACAAGCATATATTGGGACCTACAGAAGACATTACTGAAGAAATCTGTACCACCACCCACCGTTGTGTACAGCATATATTGGGACCTACAGAAGACACGAAGAAATCTGTACCACCACCCACCGTTGTGTACAGCATATATTGGGACCTACAGCAGACACGAAGAAATCTGTACCACCACCCACCGTTGTGTACAGCATATATTGGGACCTACAGCAGACACGAAGAAATCTGTACCACCACCCACCATTGTGTACAGCATATATTGGGACCTACAGAAGACACGAAGAAATCTGTACCACCACCCACCGTTGTGTACAGCATATATTGGGACCTACAGCAGATACGAAGAAATATTGGGACCGTTGTGTACACATATATTGGGACCTACGAGAGAGAAATCTGTACCACCACCCACCATTGTGTACAGCATATATTGGGACCTACAGCAGTACGAAGAAATCTGTACCACCACCCACCGTTGTGTACAGCATATATTGGGACCTACAGCAGACATGAAGAAATCTGTACCACCACCCACCGTTGTGTACAGCATATATTGGGACCTACAGCAGACACGAAGAAATCTGTACCACCACCCACCGTTGTGTACAGCATATATTGGGACCGACCACAGCAGACATGAAGAAATCTGTACAGCAGACACGAAGAAATCTGTACCACCCACCGTTGTGTACAATATATATTGGGACCTACAGCAGACATGAAGAAATCTGTACGACCACCCACCGTTGTGTACAGCATATATTGGGACCTACAGCAGACACGAAGAAATCTGTACCACCACCCACCGTTGTGTACAGCATATATTGGGACCTACAGCAGACACGAAGAAATCTGTACCACCACCCACCGTTGTGTACAGCATATATTGGGACCTACAGCAGACATGAAGAAATCTGTACCACCACCCACCGTTGTGTACAGCATATATTGGGACCTACAGCAGACACCGCGAAGAAATCTGTACCACCACCCACCGTTGTGTACAGCATATATTGGGACCTACAGCAGACATGAAGAAATCTGTGCACGACCACCCACCGTTGTGTACAGCATATATTGGGACAGCAGACACTGAAGAAATCTGTACCACCACCCACCGTTGTGTACAACATATATTGGGACCTACAGCAGACATGAAGAAATCTGTACGACCACCCACCGTTGTGTACAGCATATATTGGGACCTACAGCAGACACGAAGAAATCTGTACGACCACCCACCGTTGTGTACAACATATATTGGGACCTACAGAAGACACGAAGAAATCTGTACGACCACCCACCGTTGTGTACAGCGTGTAGTTGAGGTCTGCCATGTTGATGAGAACCGGGGGGCCGTGGCGGGGAGGGGCATCTGGTGTGTCCGCTAACCCAGTGCATTCGTTGAGGTGCTTGTGCAAACTTTTGTCACAGCAACTCAAGGGCACATAAAGTCCTTCTGGAAACAGGATTATATTATTTATCTACAAAACAAAATCATCTGTGAAATGTCAACAAGAATACATTGATATCTCCTGCCCTCTTAAATATGTTTGATAGCTGCCTTTTCTGCTATTTGCCCTCATAGACTAAAGTCCTGTTCAAATAACACAAAGCTAAAACAGCAATGCAATTATTCATTATTGTATCAGCGATATCACCATTTCTGACACAAAGATGACAGAATATGCACATCCCACTAACTTCATATTCAAAAGTTTATTTTTTATTAAAATCCTCTGATTCGATTAAATACATCTTGTTATTGCTGGTATGAAGCCTGAGATGTATTCTATAAGCTCAAAGACAGAAAGTCTAAACATGATGATAGACACATTGAGAGAGTGATGTCTGTCCAGAGCTAAACAAGGTATATATCAATATGTCCAAATAGAACAAAGAAATAGTTCACTGTATAATCCTGGGCAAGAAACATTAAAAAATCTGTACTTGCCCTAATATGAACTTTCCACTCGTCCTTCTAAAATTTGTACTTGCCCATAGATCATGCAAAACATCAATGTAAATTTAAATTATTTTATTTCAACGTGTTTGCTTGGAATATAAATACAATAAACATTACTTACTTTGTCTTCTGTACAAAATCTTTGTTTGGTCTAATTTTCAGTTTAGTGTATGTGGTGATATATATCAAGTATTTTATCTAATCTGGAAATTATCTATGTATAAAAAACAAATCATCACCCAAAGAAAAGTTGACTATGATAAATGATCGGTAATAGCAAGCAGGGGGTTCCCTATTATAAAGCTTATTCTGATTCGACAACAGTATCATTCATGCTGTGATCATTTTTTTGATTGGTCAGTTTATTAATAGCAGCCAATTACGATAATCGAAGCATTTAGGTTACAAAACCATGCTGCATGATATCTGTTAAAAATGGATACCAAACGCACATCAAGACTTAAACTTTGCGGTTAGTTTTCGGGGAATTTGAAAATACTGCTAATCGGGAATGACGATGTTAAAACTTGAACTTATTGTTTTGAAAAATAGTTGGGTCACAAAACGTCCTCGTCCTCTAGGACGAGCAAATTATGTTTTTCACTTGCTCGAAACAAATTTTACTCGTCAATACGAGAGGACGAGTGGAATTTTCAAGCCCTGTAATCGATTGACTAAATGGTTGAGTGTATACTGTCGTGGCAATACTGACTGGAGAAACCCTTCTTGAACCAGTCACTCTGTTGTTGGTAGATGGCCCAGGAGGTTGAGCTGTTCACTGTGCCGGACGCACCACAACACTTGAACTGAAGAAATGAGAAACAGTCAACAGCAATCATCAATATATCTGAGAAATCAAACATATCAAACATAAGAGAAACTCATCTCTTCCAATTACAAGAGACACATATCTTCTCTCATTGAAAGTGAAACCTATCTCCTCCAATTACAAGTGAAAGGCATCTCCTCCATATACAAGTGAAACTTATCTCCTCCAGTTACAAGTGAAACGTATCTCTCCAATTACAAGTGAAAGATATCTCCTCCATTTACAAGTGAAACTCATCTCCTCCATTTACAAGTGAAACATATCTTCTCCAATTACAAGTGAAAGATATCTTCTCCAATTACAAGTGAAACCTATCTCCTCCAATTACAAGCGAAACATATCTCATCCCATTACAACAGGTGCATGGGAAACAGAATTCCTTTAGTTCAAAAAGAAAAGTTATCTATTATAGATAGAAGTTAAACTCATCTACTCCATTTACAAGTGAACGGTATCTCCTCCAATTATTACATATATGAGGAGACCTTATCACCTCTATTCATAAGTGAAATATATTTCCTCCAGAAACACATTTGAAATGATTTATGTTCTTCATGACGTGAACCTACCGTCTGCTGTATTCTGTCCCACGACTCTGTGATCTCCAGATTCTTGGAGTTGGAGGGGATGTCAACGCCATAGTTCATCGTCACCGAATCCTCCAGCTTGCCCTTCACCTTGTTCTCAAGCTGAGGATAAACATTATGATGTGAAGCCATTGAAGAATTATTCCTCTTTCATTCCTGTCTACAAAATGTCATAGCTCACATAATTGTATTGTCTCTCGTACCTACGGTGAGTGAGTGAGTGAGTGAGCTTAGTTGTACACCACACTCAGCAATATTCCAGCTATATGGCGGCGGTCTGTAAATAATCGAGTCTGGACCAGACAATCCAGTGAGCAACAGCATGAGCATCGATCTACGCAATTGGGAACCAATGACATGTGGCAACCAAGTCAGCGAGCCTGACCACCCGATCCTGTTAGTCGCCTCTTACGACAAGCATGGGTTACTGAAGATCAATATTCTAACCCCGGATCTTCACGGGTGTTGTACCTACAATATTGTTGCCTGGTTTCTGTACTTGATGAAATTGTTGGGCAGATAGGACAACAATCAACAAGCACCAGGAGGCTGTAATAAATTTGTAACTGTTTAAAATGCCGATTCTGCAGCTGTTGGTGATCAGCATGTACCATACTAAAATATCAATGTTAACAGTACGACAGTCAATACAGGATTAGCCATTTAGTCAACAGTTTCTGTACATATATGTTTTGATCAGTTTGTTTACAAACATTAAATATGAAAACAATAATATATAAATGGCTGCTGCCTCATGAATGAAAACCTAATAATTTTTTGTTGTACCTTATGTACACCTTCTGCAGAAAGAACATGTCTGTTTCTTAAAATTTTGAAATGGTGATGATATTTGCTTTAAAACAAGTTTTGTTTTTCCAGCCATGTTACCAGTGGTTGATATTAAGAACAACATGCCATGTTGTCACTGAATAATCTCACCCAGTCTAAAGATCACAAATATACAGAAATGTCAAATGAAAATATCTGACTGACATTCTGCCAAAAATATAAATCTAGTCATCTCTTTCCAACAACATGTGCATTGTATATTAGTGCCATGCCATGTGGTCACTGAATAATCTCAGTCTAAGTAAACTTAGGCTCAGTATTATTCGTTACACTGCTATACTGAGTCTAACAAAACCTTGTGGAAGGTCGCGTCAGGTAACCTTTGAGCGACCTATGACCGCCTAATCAAACGCGAGACGGCCGAACGGATTTAACCAATCAGACAACGGCTACTATTTAGGGTTCGGCGGTACTAACAATATGGATTTTCTCTTCCCCGGTCGCCAACACTGATCTCACAACAAATGAAAACCTGCATACAACACAGATGTATGACCTGCAGAATATACGCTTTTGGGTTTCTGTTGACATGGTTATCATTAGCTAATATTTCCGCAAGCTGACATCCTTGAATACTGACTAAACGCTGTTTTCACCGACTGTTTACTCACTGTTGTGGCGTGCTCCATGTGCATCACTTGGAAGCGATCGTACGGAAAATAACATTCGGAATCGTTCGGGTACAAAACTTTTTCGAGGTAAAAGTTCAAAAGGTATGTGCGAATGCCAACTTTCGTGATTTGGTAAGCTGTGTTCTGATTGGTCAATTGAAAAGGTTACCTGACGCGACCTTCCACAAGGTTTTGTTAGACTCAGTATAGCAGTGTAACGAATAATACTGAGCCTAAGTTTACTTATACTATGAATAATCTCACCCAGCCTGAAGATCACATAAATCTAGTCATCTCTTTCCAACAAAAAGCGGAAGTGAATTAGTGCCGAAGTCTAAAAACAGATTAGTGCTACAGTCTATAGACTTTTTAACATTTACGAAGACAATACTTTCCTCTACGTACTTGATACTTTACTTCTACGTAGATGATGCTTCCATTTTGTCATGATATTATAACATACTTAGGAAAAAGTATCATCTAGTATTGAATTACTGATTTTGTATATTTTCTCCAGTAATCGACAATAGTTACTGGTCGATTTTATGTAACTTCTGGTGTAATTAATAATGATCCATTATTTTGACGTTCAGCCATGATGTGTTTTTAGTGAGACGCTATCAAACATTCAGTAAAGTAACTCTTCGATTAAATGTGTCCATGTTTGGTTAAATGAATTCATTTGATCATTTTCTCCATATTAATGCTGATGCTTTGAAATTATTTCAGTTGTGACAAATATACAGAAATGTCAAATGAAAATATTTGACTGACATTCTGCCAAAAATATATCAAACTTATATATATTTGAATAAACTATATCCAGCGTTTGTTTATTCAAGTAGGGTCATAACTTAACAACACAATTTAACTGTTTCAGTAACAATACACACAATAATTATGTATCCAGAGATGAATGTATATCTTCTTCGTTGAGGACAGTATCTGCTACGTAATGATCAAGAATGTTTAGACAGTGGCGAAAATACTCTCTTCCACAACAAACAAAGCCTACAGCCTGCAGTGTTTAAAACTCCTAAAATTCCAAGCCAGACAGCCGGACTGGTAACTTTAAAAGAGTACCAGTCCGGATACAAACTTGCCTGTCCGGTTTTCAACAATAAAAAACTGTGACTGCCATTTCCAACTCGCACAAGCTCCATTCACTGTTTGCAGGCATCGCAATGAAGTACATAGCACTAACAGGTAATGCATCGAGTTTAGGTAAACTGAAAGTACATGTGTTGTGATTGGTTATCGCAACATGAGCTGTCCAATCGAAAGTAGTTTAACATAATTTTCATAATACCTTAAACACCCCAAACTGACGACACGAGAACCTGTCTGATATTATGAAATATTTACTCTTAGGGGTAAAAATATCTACCAGACCACCGGACAGGCTACTTTTGAAATTTGACCGTCCGAGATGAAAAAAGACCGTTCTGGACGGTCGGGCAGGCAGGAATTTTAAACGCTGCTACAGGTGACACATTCCAACCTGTGTCGAATAATTGTAAAATACTAAAGAGAAACGGTATCCAATATAAGTAATCATACAAAGGTCATTTATATACATATACACAGATAGCTGACTTTTCTTATGCCAGTGTTTTGTTTCAGCAAATCATTTCTGTAAACATAATTGGTCCTGCTATGACGTGAAGTTTCTGATAAAAACTAATTAAAACATACAAAATTAGTCTATAAACTAATCGCTAAATTGACAGTAATTTGTTCCATGCAAATCGCTGAAGTAAGCGCAGTTTGGATGAAAATCTTACTAGTATTACCTCGCTAATTAGGACATATCCCAGAATTCCTGCCACAAACAGACTGACGGACAGAAAGGCCAACAACCACAGATGCTGAAACACAATACATAGACAGTGACACATCAACTATCCACACGCTGTTAATCCTGAAATGTGGACTTACAATAGGCAGCAGCAACAACATTGATTGATTGTAGTTTAATGCTGCACTGACAGCAATATTCCAGCTATATGACGGGGGTCTGTAAATAATTGAATCTGGACCAGACAATCCGGCTATCAACATCATGAGCATTGAGTATGGCGTTAAAACTACCAACAAGCAACCATTCCACGACCAGCAGTGGTTCACTTTGTCTTGGAGGAGCATGGGTGACCAGTCATCTAAGGAGCGGCCATTTGCAGTAAGTGTTGTGGCCCTCAGGAAACCTATGGCCTTAGAGCACAGTTACCCTCCTTAAATTTTAATGACCCGGAAGGAAAATAGGAGAGTATAGAGCATTATTTATAATGTCTGTTCAGCTTGTGTTATTTTTTCAGGGTGACTTTACACCGCTTAAATGAAAGATCAGATGTTGTACTTTATTGCCATTTTTTAACCCACAATCTGTCAATAGTGTTGACTGCAGCCCTTCATGATTTGAGCCTAGGTTCAAGGCTGTTTCGTGTGTTTTAGTTCGAAACTTCCGGTGACCGTTGTTGACAGTAGATACTGCAAAACTGGGACGGTGGATCCAGATCGATATTGTGAGGTTAAATGACCAGTGGCTGGTTGGTCAGCATGCAACAGGAGAACAGCCTATGACCGATATTAATTATGGTGGACCGGAATGTCACTGTAGTTAGCAAAGAAGGAGTGAGTGAGTAAGGTTTTATGCTGCTTTTAGTGCCCATGTGGGGAATCGTACCTGGGTCTGCGTCGTGACAAACAAACGCTTTAACCACCAGGCTACCCCACCGCCCAAGGAAAGAAGGAAAACAGCTGTTGTCTGGGACCTTATACAAATGTTCGTATCATGGTATCTTGAAGTTCCTCAGCACCATATTTGTGCTTGTGGGTGTCACCAAACATCTAAGACCTGCATCACTTTGTTTGTACATTATGGGGGCGGTGGGATAGCCTAGTGGTTAAAGTGTTGGCTCGTCATGCCGAAGACCCGGGTTCGAATCCCCACATGGGCACAATGTGTGAAGCCCATTTCTGGTGTCCCCCGCCGTGATGTTGCTGGAATATTGCTAAAAGCGGCGTAAAAGCAAACTCAGTCAGTCAGTCAGATGTACATTATGCTGACATACCCATTCACACACTTTGTCCACATAGCAACCCGCACACTATGCAGAACCACGTGACATCACTACTAAAAGTACAAATGCTTGTGTATAAGTCTTACCAATCCCATAATGCATTTGTACTGAGTTAGCACCCCGCATACTCCAAGAAGAGTGATGACAATGATGGCTCCTCCACAGCCAATCAGCAGGAATGAGTCCACCTCGTACAAGGGGATGTCGATGAGGCTGGAGAGTTGTTTGCTTCCGTACTCGGACTCATGAGTCCAGATACCGATACCCAGGATGGCGATGCCGCACACCTGGATCACAAGGAAAACATATTATACACCGACACCTGTCTATTCCGACACACTGTCAAAACCGGCAAAAAATTTTGGTCCCGCCATTTTACAACGATGTTATGATCGTAAGGATGGGAATGCCACAATAACTCGGTGCGCCTAATCTGTATTCCGGCACGACTTCCCCGGTCCCAACAAGCAATTTTAAATTTAATAAACACCGTCTAAACCGACATGGGTATGATCAGTCCACTCAAAGACCCATAATCCAATACACTAATTAATCCCCTTGGCACTAATCAAACGCTCTAACCGGCATGAGTATGAGCAGTCCAATCAAGGTCCCATAATCCAAATACACTCCTCTCGGCACGCTAGAGAATCAGGAAGTAGTCATTGCGAGGTGAATCAAACGCTCGTAGGATTATCGCGATTATGCTTTATAAACACTGGGGGATTGCATTAACTGTTTTCAAACGATACGCTGCGTATTTGTGTAAAATATCTAGTTTTTTATGCTTAACAAAAAGAAAACAACTTCATTAGATGACTGCTAGATGAATTAATACTAGGCAAGTACTGCGTTTCACCATCAGAATCAATTGCAGGCGAGACTGAAAAGTGTAAATGGCAGCCATGTTGAAATATGATTGTCACTGTCTAATCCGGCACCCTGTCTAAACCGGCATTTTATTTCGGTCCCGTGGGGTGCTGGTTTAGACAGGTTTCACTGTATTTACAAAAATATATTTTTGCGGGTGCTAGAAATGAAGACAAGCTGTTAAGACTTGCCCGTTGGAATTAAGTTGGTTGGTTGGTTTATTGTTTAATGCCGCACTCAGCAAATTTCCAGCTATATGGCTGCGGTCTGTAAATAATCGAGTATGAACCAGACAATCCAGTGATCAACAGCATGAACATCGATCTATGCAATGGGGATGCGATGACATGTGTCAACCAAGTCAGCGAGCCTGACGACTCGGTCCCGTTAGTTGCCTCTTTTGAAGAGGATGGGTTGCTGAAGACCAGTTCTAATCCAGATCTACACGGGTTCCTTTGGAATTATGACTGCATGCAAGAATACTTTTGATCCATCTATACTGTCAAGTTATCATTTGTGCTCACTTACAATTTTTAAACAGATTTTAAAATCATGTGAATTTTGACATTCCCTTACCAAGACAACCACAAAAGCTATCAGCAATAGGTTTTTTATCCATCTGGCACAGGAGGTGCCCACCATCCGATTGGATTCAAACCCTGCCCAGCTCTGTGTTTCCTCTATCGGAGAGAAGCTGTTGATGGTCATGTTGATTTGCCTCCTGCAGTAAATGAACATACATCAATCATCATCATCATCATCATACCTTGAAACTGCAATGGTCATCAAGCCTTCATCATGGTGATGGCCTAATTCATAAACCCTTAGCAGACCAAACAAAGTGTGGGATTTTCTCACCACCATCATCATCACCATATGTCATCCTTCCTTGTAACTACAGAGGCCATTAAGCTGACTAAAAGACTACTAAAAGACCAATCACACGTGTGGGACTCTCAAACGTCATGGTCGACATTGTACAGTGTAACAATCATTTGCTTCAGTGATTAAAATTTAACAAGTTAAACTTTTTACTTCTTATAACAACATATCAACATATGCTTTAGTATGTTTACAATCATAGAAATAGTAACCCCATAAATTCATGCTATAAATAGCAGTTACTAAAATTTGGGTTGTTTAGGTTTATGATCATGAGTGAGTGAGTGAGTTTAGGTTTACGCCACACTCAGCAATATTCCAGCTAAATGGCGGCGGTCTGTAAATAATTGAGTCTGGACCAGACAATCCAGTGATCAACAACATGAGCATCAATCTGCGCAATTGGGAACCGATGACATGTGTCAACCAAGTCAGCCAGCCTGACCACCCTATCCCGTTAGTTGCCTCTTACGACAAGCATAGTCGCCTTTTGTCGCAAGCATGGGTTGCTGAAGACCTATTCTACCCCGGATCTTCACGGGTCATTTATGATCATGATCAATGATCTGCGCAGCTGAACCTTATGATTACGAGAGCAATAAACAGGACACATTTCATGGTCTCCGACGTGTAAATTATCAACTCATCCTCAACATATACAAAGTCCTAGTAATAAGTAAAAACACATTCCATTACATTTGAAGAAAAGATTTACCAGTATAGGTCTGTGACTGGTTTCCCTTCTAATCCTTATATTTCAAACACAGGTTATTCAAAAATCTTTCTCAATTCTGTGAAATATGTTATGTGAAAATGACAACGCGAAACAATAACACGAATAGAAAATGTCACGTTGTCTCAGACTCAGGTTGAAATAGTACAAATACATTTCATACCTGCAGAGACCATATACCTGTATAGTGTATATCGTCTCTGGTACCTGTAATTACTTTTATAGTTAGGTAACCTCGTGTAAATATCCAGTTACGTCAAAAACCCTGAATCTACAACACGTCAGCTGGGTTACATGTTTACTTCACGGAGCCTCTCTAGTTTCGTTGACATATGTCAGTCAGCCATTGACTGTCCATCAATATTCGATCGATAATACAACTCAAATATTCAACATGGCATACCGGATTGGTTGTAGATTCAAAAACTGGCACTGGCTTCCATTGTGCGTAGTGAACGTGTTTGTGTGTATCTAAGTATTTGCAAACCTTTAAACTATTCGTGATGCGTCATATTATTTGACGAGGTTGTGTTCGGTGTCCGCTGCCTGTCGCTACCTGGCGATGTAAACAACACCGTAACTTGCATAGTTGTGAGAGTTACCTGCCCCTGAGATGTTTCTCATCGTCATTCGGAGACTTTCGGTGAGGCAAATTGCCCAAGGAAGGTGTCGATTGAGTATGAAAAACACAGTTGTTCCCCTTGGATTGCAAATCGTAAGGTCCAGCCGGGGCCTAGATTTTCGAAGCTCTCTTAGCTTTAAGATAGTCGTAAGTTAATGTTAATGTATGGCACTTACGACTATCTTAGCGATAAGAGAGCTTCGAAAATCTAGGCCCAGACTTGGAACAACCCAAACGAAACCTTCTGTAAAGAATAGTTTTAGTTTCTATGAATCAGCAAGGAATAATAGCAAATTTCCAAATCAAACTATATTTAAGGAACATATGTATTTGATTTTGTTTCTGTGTTAAAAATGAACAGACCTACAAAATGTGAAAAAGTATAGTCTTTAAACACAAGAACTAGGATTATGTATTTCGCTTAATATAACGATCCTACTGAAGTTTTTTTCTTCAATCTGCTAACCCTTAATAACAAAGAGGATTATTAAAGAAGTGTTGTAAAATTGGTATTGATGTTTTCAATATAAGGGTTCATGACTGCGCACTTCAAGATACTAGAAAACTCTTCATTTGAATTTTATAGGTGTCATAAATCTTATTTAACTTGTGAACATTCTCCTTTAAAATAGTAATAATTGTCAGTATAAACGACTGATAACTAAACCTAGATACCCCCTTGGTGTCTAGTTTCTTCGTAGAGGTTTAGTAATCTGTGATGATCAAACTGTTTAGCGCAAGCATTGTCATTCAACTGAAGACGAAATGCCTGTTATTTACCACCTAGTGCTCTACGGCATTGAGCTGAAATTATTATTATTATTATTATTATTACATGATATTGATATAGCGCACATATCCACGTGACTAGTACATGCTCAAGGCGCTGGTATTTCCCTCTATCACTGGATGTCAATCTCAGCGGGACATCGTATTATCAATCTCAACTCCCCAGGGAGCATACAACTCTTGCAGCCACGAGACGCACTAAGTTTCACGGCTTTCTCACCCTTATGAGGTACCCATTCACAGCTGGGTGGACTGGGACACAGTAAGACAAATCACTTGCTTATCTACCACAGTAAATAACTCTCTGTAACATCGTACAAACATTTTTGTACGATTGGTCTGATGGCCTCCATACAAATAAACTGTCTGTCTGACATAATCAATTGTACAGTGCAACGATCCCAGATGTTGTTTCCTGTACTAAAAACATGATTCCAAGATTCCAAGTATGATACCCAATCGACTATGTGTTTCAGTCTGGCACCGTTTACCAAACTCCTAACGGTAAACAGTTTCCAAGAAAACTAGTAAGTTTAGTTCTCGGTTGTTTACATGGTCCCGTCTCTCGATCGATTGTCGGGTCGGGTGTTAAACAATTGGTCTGCAGTGTGGGTTACAATATGTAATGAGTGTCTGGCGTGGACAATGATCTTGATCTTACATAAAGTGGGGTTACGTTGAATTCGTTCAGACTCGGCCCAAAGTGTACTTACCACGTGATCTATGTGCATATATGACGCTGTATGAATTCTCCAAGCCAAACAAATGGGAAGGTCAGCCGAGGATATGTCAGAATATTAGGAGTGAGTGAGTGAGTGAGTGAGTTAATATTTAACGTCACATCGGCAATATTTCAGCCATATCGTGACGAGAACATATTTGACATTGAAATGGAATGTATGTATATTATGAAAACCTGTCGACGAAGGACAGTAAAACAACTGGAATATCACAATTGCAACTAAAACTAGTGTGCAAAGTTAAAACTGATAGCACTATTTGGACAATAATAGGCTATAGATCAGAATATTAGGAACGTTTACCCCTCACAATTAAAAGACATCATCAAATTTCAAGCCACACCACTCCGCTCCAAGAAAATCCGGTGAAGAATTGATCTACAGCAACCAGCAATGCATTTCCTAAATGTACAATTGTTCATACTCTTTGACCAGGATTATGCATGTCAACGTATACAAATGCTCATTATATCACTCACTGGATTATTTGGTAAGACTTCGATTATTTACCGCAGTCATATTGCTGGAATATTGCTGGAATATTGCTGAGTGTGGCTAAACAGCATGCACACAAATAAGTCTAGCCTGAATGAAATATGTAAAACTCCAGTTATCCGATCAAGTGATAAGGGAGGCAAGGAAATTTGCCGTGATTAACTGGGACTCCCCTGAGCCGTGCAATAATATTAATGCCTTCGTGCCAAACTTTATTTTCTATTAGCTTGTTGTCTCCTGATATCCTCCGACAGGCCTGAAGTTGCTATATGAGATTATACTGTACTGGCTGCGCAGATTTAGACTGACATAGTTTCCCAAAGGACACGGAAGCCGAGGTGAAAGATTAGCTGGACGGTGACTGGGTCCCGCTTCCATGTGCGCGATGTCTTTGCGCTGTTGCCTCCCTTGGGAACTGTAAGAGTTGATAAACCCGTCTTTCTCGATTTGGTTGTTAAAATTGTCTACACAATTTGTAGAACAATACATCGTTGCGATCTACCATTTTAAAGATGGTTTTCATTGTGTCACTTTTGAGTTGAGTTGTTGGTTCCAATATGCAACATATCCAATTCTTGAAAGAATTAATCATGTACACTCTTCCAGCGAAATACTGTAATCGTTCAGTTCAGCTACAAAGCCATGAGATCTATCTGTTTGCCTGATCACAATTGACTTTGGTTAGAAATGAGCAAACTTTCTCATGATATGATGTCTCATGGCCGAAATGTTGGACGCCAATTGTCTAGGAAATAGAATGTCTGATTTGGAAGATCGACTTGTATCTAAATTGTTAGCTTTGGTACATAAGAAAATGCATTGGTGTAAGTTATTGTCACTTTATGATCGATTGTCTGTTCCATAAGTCTTCGGAAGTAATTTTGACTCCCCCTGATTGCAATTCCATTATTTGAGTCCCTATAGAGACAAACGGACCTCTTGTTTTTGAGCTTGCCATGTGCGATCACGCTAGTTGTTTTTTTGTCAAGGAATATTGTGTTTTAAAGGTCAAATAAGTCGGTTTTATTCGAAATGAATCGTAGTAATGGTAGTAGTTGTCGGTGTTGTAGAACACGTGGTCGTAGTACTTAGTGATAGTATTCTGTCATATAGACCCTGAAGCAAATACATCCAAGAAAGCCGACGCAAGTTTAGAAAATGTGGCAAGTCTAGATTTCCACAGCTTCAAAATGAAGAAAGTCTCAGGCTCCTTTTCATTATATTGTTTTTTGTTTTACTATGAACTATTTTTTTCTGTAAAATATGTTCATTTCAGAGACTAGTCGTTAGTCTACAGTGATAGTAGTGGTACTACTCGTAGCAGTAGTAGTAGTAGCAGTAGTAGTAGCAGTAGTAGTAGTACTAGTAGCAGCAGTAGTAGTAGTAATAGTAGTAGGAGTAGTAGTAGCAGCAGTAGCAGTAGTAGTAGCAGTAATAGTAGTAGTAGTAGTAGCAGCAGTAGTAGTAGTAGTTGTAGTAGTAGAAGTAATAGTAGTAGCAGTAGTAGTAGTCAGTAGCAGGGAAATAATGCTTTGTTATGGAGTTTAGTTGTACGCCTCTTTTAAACATATTCCTGTAATAGCAGGACACACCAAAATTGGACTCCAAACATTTGTTACTCGCACTGCCAAAATCTCCTTGTCGAGTCCGTCTGATCAACGATATTGACAAAATATCACGACAGTCTGGAGTGAGTGAGTGAGTTTAGTTTTACGCCGCACTCAGCAATATTCCAGCTATATGGCGGCGGTCTGTAAATAAAATCGAGTCTGGACCAGACAATCCAGTGATCAATAGCATGAGCATCGATCTGCGGAATTGGGAACCGATGACATGTGTCAACCAAGTCAGCGAGCCTGACCACCCGATCCCGTTAGTCGCCTTTTACGACAAGCATAGTCGCCTTTTATGACAAGAATGGGTTGCTGAAGACCTATTCTACCCCGGATCTTCACGGGTCCACGACAGTCTGGAGAATCGAACTTAGTCTTTGGCCTGATCAACCAGGCCATTAACAACTGAACTACTACACAATGCCTTATCCGTCAGCCATACGAACATAATCTGTTAATTTACCATTCACCAAATGTCATTGTTGTATAACTGGCTCTGTTTGACATCTACAGGAAGCGCTGCCTGGTTGAAAATAGACTGGGATCAATCTGTACAGTCTGTATGTAATGATAAGGGCATGGACAGTAACACATATAGACCAAATACGGCTCGAGGGACAAAGGTATGATTGACCAAACTCAAAGTTGGAGTTGTTAGTTCTCAGGATGAAGGTTTCCCCACAGTCCACGTCTGGAATACAACACTTGAACAATTTGTCTGCTTGTCTTGCAGTGAAACATGGCGCAACACGACACCGTAAAGAATTGTGTACCGCTGATTTCTGTCATATGAAAGAGCTTTATATACTTGAGCATCTGAAAATATCAACTCAATGCCAATTAACTCACTGTGTCAACAAGGTTGTATGAACATCAATTGAGAATCTTTACACTTCTCTGTGTCATTTGTGGGTGCCGTATGACATGTTCCAGACGGCTAACTCATGACCAAATGGCACACCGACACCTACCAGCGTCTGCCCAAATCAATGACAGAGCCAGATTAACCTTGACGGCTGCATGGTATCAAAGATAGGGTGCTGTCTGCGCAAAGTCCTAATGACCAAAATGATTGACTCCCGCCAGTCTACTCACAAACTGCAAGCTGACTTGCGTGCGAGTAAAGGGCTTGTGGTGCATGTTTTCTAAAATTATCGATACTATGAGAGTAACTCCTGGGACATTGAATACTGCATGTGTTCATGGCAGACGACAGCGAGGAAGGAGACCAGACGGAAAAACGTCATTCCACGGGACGTCACTCTGTCAGTCGGTAGATACTTTCATTTTACAACGAGGATCATTTTAAAATTGTGTTCATAAATGGTTAAG